CTGCAAAAGGTTTGTATTCCCCAGGGGCCTGCAGGCTCTTCAACACATGCAGCAGCAGCAGTGCTGGCTGTGTGAGATTTTTTCCTTCTTCTCCTGTTGTTTAACTGCATTCATTTTATTAGCGGGAATAATGGGTTGGGAAAATGAGGCAGCTGGTGGAAAGAGGTGACTTTCTAGTTTAACCCCTCAGCTGCTGGGAGTCTGGTCATTTATTGATATTTGCTCAGCTTTGAGGGCAGCTGGGGCAGCCGACAGGGACAGACAGCACAGACAGACAGAACATGACCCTGTCCCAGAAGTGTGGGTAGACAGAGCCCTGTACTGGGAATCCTTTCTTTCTTTCTTTTTTTAACCTCATCCGAGGACACTTTTCCATTTTTTGTTCAGATAGAGTGGGAGGGAAAGAGAGGAAGAGAGAGAAACATCCACGCGAAAGGGACACATCGAGTGGCTGCCACCCACACGACCCAACCAGGGCCGGGGACAAACTACAACCGAAGTACGTGCCCTTAGCGGGAACCGAACCCGGGTCTCTCTGGACCGCAGGCTGATGCTCTAACCGCTGAGCCAAACCGGCCAGGGCTGGGAATCCTTTCAATCTCACTGTGTATGACCTTGAACTGGCCCTCCTGGACCTTCAGTTTCTTTTTTCTTATAATGTGGGACAGAGGGTTGGATCAACTTGGCACACTCCAGTGCCTTCAGGGGCCAGGCAGGTGTTGTAAACGAAGCTGGCCCGGGGAGCACTGTGGCAAAACTGGAGTCCCTGACTCCATCCAAGGCCACTGAGGGTCGGAAATTTTAAAGCCGCTGTGCGGGGCAAACTCACCATCCTTGCCTCAGACCTAGACACTGGGTATCAGACACTTACATGGTGTTCACCAGGTGCCAGGCAGTGTTATTTGTGCTGTAGATGTTAACTCATTTCACCTGCACAACAACCCAGTGAGGTAGGTTATTGAGATGGGCACTATTGTTATGTCAAATTTCCAGATGAGGACACTAGGGGAAAAGGAGTTCTGAGCTGCCTCACCGGTGGTCTTCCCAGACCAAAAATATGGATAATGCTTTCTAAGGCAGATCCCAGGAAGAAGCGAGATGGGACATGGACCTCAGTGGACGGAGAGAGCAGCTAATACTAGACTTATTTGGCTTGATACTATCAGAATTCAGTAAAAGAGACACTGTGTTTAGGTAAGATATCAGAGAGGTATAGAGGAAAAGAGATACTGAAAGTGTTCTGTATCACCTTTGTTTATAATTGTGGAAAATATACATAAGATGTGATATACTGTCTTAACCATTTTTTTTTTTTTTTTTTTTTTTTATCCTCACCTGAGGATATTTTTCCATTTTTTGTACAGATAGAGTGGGAGGGAGAGAGGAAGGGAGAGAGAGAGAGAAACATCGATGTGAAGGGACACATCGAGTGGCTGCCACCCGCACAACCAACCAGGGCCGGGGACAAACTGCAACCGAAGTACGTGCCCTTAGCGGGAACCGAACCCGGGCCTCTCCGGACCGCAGGCCAACGCTCTAACCGCTGAGCCAAACTGGCCAGGGCTTAACCATTTTTTTTTTATTCCTCACCTGAGGATATTTTTCCATTTATCTTCAGACAGAATGAGAGGGAGGGAGAGAGAGAGACAGAGAGAAACATCCATGTGACAGAGGAGCCACATTGACTGGTTGCCTCCTGCACCACCCGACCAGGGCCGGGGACAAACCACAACCGAGTTACATGCCCTTGACCCGAATCGAACCCGAGACTCATAGGTCCGCGGGCCAAACCTCTAACTGCTGAGCCAAACCGGCCATGGCTGTCTTAACCATTTGTAAGTGTTCATTCAGTAGTGCTGAGTACGTTCACATCACCGGGCAGTCATCACCACCATCGATTCACAGAACTCTCTTCATCTTGCAAAACGAAACTCTATACCCATAAAACACTCTCTCCTCATTACTGCTCCTCCCAGCCTGAGGCAGCCATCGTTCTACTTTCTGTTCCTATGGATTTGACTGCTCTAGGCACCTCATATAAGTGGAATCATACAGTATTTGTCCTTTTGTGACTGACTGACTTCACTTAGCATAATCTCTTCAGTGTCTATTGAAGTTTATAGTATGTATCAAAATTCTCTTCCTTTTCAAGGCTGAAGAATATTCCATTTGTATGGATATACCACATTGTGTTTCTCCATTTATCCATTGTTGAACACTTGGCTGTTGTGAATGATACTGCTATGAACATGGGTGTCTCTTTTAAGGAAGCATTAAGACCCCCTGGGTGGATATCACAGAGAGGCAAAGTCTGGTTGCACAATAGCAGGAAGAACTCTTCAGTGGTTAGAGCCCCTTCACAGGGCTGCCTGGGGTGGTGGTGAGCTCCCTGTCACAGGGACTAGAGGGCCATTTTGTTGATGGCAGCAGGTGTCCCCTTTAGGTGAAGATGGTCCATCAGGTGACCCCTAACGTTTCAGCCTGGAGAGGAGCTGAGGGGCTGCCCACCACCCGCTAACTGAGCTAGCTCAGAATGGTTGTCAGAACAATGGAGGGCACCAAATTCTGTGTTGTTCCCGCCCCCTGGTGAGGCTCCTCTGTGGGCAGAACCAGGGGGGGACAGCGTTTTCCTGCCATTTGCCTCTTAGCACAGAACATGTCAGTGAGTGAAGTTTAGACTTCCCCATCTCTGAAGAGGGGCCGAGCACGGCCCATCCTGCCTTTGTGAAGCAGGGCTCGCCCGTCAGTGAGGAATAATGGGGGAAGGGAGGTGATGGGCAAGCAGCCCGATGTCACAGGGTTTCTCCCTGTTTTTGGCAGCTCCCCTGCATCCTGCTTATTCCACGGAAGCTTCCGTAGACCTTACTGTGTGTGCCAGTGTTCAGGGCCTCTGTGAAGTGTAACAAGCGTCACCCAAGTCAAAGGAGTGCGAGACATGCCCTTCAGCGGGGCCTGGGCCGGGCAGCAAAGGCAGAGAGGGCGGGAGGGAGCAGAAGCCCCTGGCTGTACCCAGGCACCTCCTCCCCAGGTCTGATGTGTTCTGGAAGATTCCAGGCTCCTGTGAGTGTGTGTGCGTGCGCGCGCAGCCTGCATCGGTGTAAATGGAGTAGAGCCCTGAATCACGGCAGGAGTGCCCCTCAAAGGAGCCCTGTGGCGACGTATTTTGTAAAGTGGAAAATCCTTTTGTACGGTGAATAATTGTACTCTGTTCGTCTGCTTTGGAGGTTCAGAGTGTTCAGAGATTCTCAGGGGAAAGAGGGATTTGTTTGAAGGCCGTCTGGCCCACCCCCCCTTCTCATGCTCGATTCTAGAGCATCCCCTCCAAGTGATGCGAAACCCCGCTTGAACCCCTCAGTGATGGAAAACTCACCATCCCCCCCAAGATGGATCATTCCTTCTTTGAGCAGCTCTGCTTATTAGTAAGGGAAACTTATCCTGAGCTAAAAAAAAAAAAATCTTTCTCTAAATCTATCAGACTGTCTCTGCCTGCCTTCACTCCATCTGAAGATGATCAGGGACAGGCATCTAGAACTCTTCTTGACTGCCCGCCTTCAGAACTCAGAAACTGCGGTTATAGCCTGCTCCAGCCACTGACCTTTGTTTTTCTTCTGTTTCCATAGAGATGCCTCTTACTAAACACCTGATTGCTTGCACCACAGACCTCACTGTGGGAGCCCACCCATCACCGTCTCCTGAAGCAAGACAGCTGCTTAACTGAACTGAACTTTCCTCAAGACTGAGACTGGTTTAGTGAGATACAGAACAGTCTACCCACCCAACTTCTAGAATGTAAAACTTCCAGGGCAGTTTCAGAGGAGGGACCCATGGGGGTTCAGAATGAGTCACCCCAAGATGTGCCTTAGTGGTTTGCAGATTACTTTGAGCTAAAGGCAACTTTACCTGCAGGTTCAAGAGAAAATTCTTCACCTCCCTTAACCACCTAGAACAGCTTGAATTAGGGGCCTTGCCCATAATGAGAGATCATCATAGTAACCCTCTTTTGACCTACCTAGAGGGCAGGGCCAACTTCTGTTTACTAAGCATCTGTTCCTATCATCCTGCAATGATCCTTTGAAGCCCCCAAGCCACCTCACCTCACGCCAGCTCAGCATGCCTTATACACACATCCTCCCTTTCTCTCTCCGCACCTCGGCACGTGGGGTCTCTGACTCTTATGTATGCTGGGTTCCCATACACGTGTATGTATCAAATTTGGTTACTTTCTCTTGCTTAAAAACCAAATCTCTCTCTGAAGTTTTCATCCACTGAGTCTTCTGCTTGCCGGTTACACTGAATGAGCCCTTGTCTTGTGTTGACTCACTTGATACTTGACAACAGTGAACTTGACCCCTGAGTCTGCTCTTCATTTGTTCCTCATATGCAGGATTTTAAGTTCCTTTTTAAATATATATATATATATATATATATATATATATATATATATATATATATATTTTTTTTTAAATTTTATTTATTGAGAGAGAGAAACATTGATTTGTTGTTCCATTCATTTATGCATTCATTGGTTACTCTTTATATGTGCCCTGACCAGGGATCAAACCCAGATCTTTGGCATATCGGGACGATGCGCTAACCAACCAAACTATTGGGCCACGGCGATTTTGAGTTATTCAGTCATCCTGATGGTTCTGCTTTGACTGCTTGGTTTGCTGTTCTGCATCCCTTCGCAATCCTGTACCCAGCAATTAATGCGACTCACAGATGCTGTCTGTGCGTCTAGAGGAGACAAAGACTTTCATCTCCCCAGATCAAGGTTCTCTTCCTCTGCTAGTGCAGCTCAAGAGCTTTTTGATGGTAATAAACTTACCGTTGCCTAAAATCTCAAAGCCATGCTGATGTGATCTGCGACTGAGCCACAACCCCCTCACGCAGGACTTAACGGAGATGACTCTTTTAAATGTCTAGTTTTCCCAAGGGAGATACTTCTGCAGAGGAGTGGTTTGCTCTGGAACTGATGGAACTCTCTCCTTTTTTCCTAGAACTGGTCAGGCATGAAGTGCCAGTTCAAGCTGCTGCGGATGGCTGTGGCCTTGATCTGTAGTAAGTACTGATGTGACAGGCTGGGGGAAGGGAGCCGTGCACCGGGCCTGGGAGCTTGTGGTCAAGAAAAAAGGGGGGGGGGTGGCAGTAGCCGTGTCAATAATATGCAACAAAGCGGGACGTTATGAGAGAAGTCTGGCCCATTCTGCTACTTCTTAACCTTTCTTAAACTTTTTCTTGACATCCGACATGCAAACAGAAAAGTGCACATAGGACGAGTGTCCAGCTCAATGATGGAGCACCCAGATCAAGAAAAATAACTTCTTGGCCCTGACCAGTTTGGCTCAGAGGTTGAGCATTGGCCTGCGGATCAGACAGTCCCGGGTTCGGTTCCCGCTAGGGGCACGTAACACAAAAAAGAAAGAAAAAAAAAGAAAAGGAAAATAACTTCTTAATAACCTTTTGGGTCATGGAGTCGATCCTTTGAGATCTGTCGGAAGCTGGAGGCCCCTCCCCTGGAAAAATGCATGTGTACGTGCACGTGTTGTAACTAATAAACTGTAACTAAACTATAAACCCCTACGAGCAGGCTGTGGGGGGAGCCCTAGTCAGGAGAAGTCAGTGCTACCTGTAGAGGTCATGTTGAGTGTTCAAGAAGGCACCGTGGAGGTGTGCACCGTGTAGACAGGTATAAGAGTGCATTTCAGGCAAAGGTGCAGCGTGAACAAAGACACAGGTGGGTGAAGGGTCACAGCCTGCAAGTCAGTTTTGAAACCTACCTGTGATAGGAGATAATAGGAGTCAGATCATGAAAAGCTTTTATGCATAACCAATGGACACAGACAATAATATGGGGAAGGCAGGAGGCGGGTGGGAGCAGGGAGGAGGGGTTTAAAAGGGAAAAAGGGGGAACATCTGTAATACTATCAACAGTAAAGATAGAATAAGAATATGAATAAAAATAAAAGTAAGAATAAGAGCCCTGGCTGGTTTGGCTCAACGATTAGAATGTCGGCCTGTGGTCCTGAGAGACCCGGGTTCGGTTCCCGCCAAGGGCATGTACCTCGGTTGCAGTTTGTCCCCGGCCCTTGTTGGCCATGAGGGTGGCAGCCACTCGATGTGTCCCTTACACATCAATATTTCTCTCTCTTCCTCTCTCTCCCTCCCACTCTATCTGAACAAAAAATGGAAAAAAATGCCCTCAGATGAGGATAAAAAAATAATAGGAATAAGAATAATGAAAAGAAAGATGTTCACATGCGAAGAGAAGGATTGGACTTCGTCCTGACACACTGGGAGGCCACTGGGGGGTTTTAAACTCTTGTTTACGGAGAGATTTGAGTTTGGGAGACCACGCAGGCTGCTGTGTGGAATTGAGTGTGTGTGGCGGGGGTGAGGCCAGAGGCCAAGAGGCTCGTTTCGAGATGGAAAGAAGTTTAATAGTCTGAACAGAAGCGAAGGGGGTAGGAGGAGGAGAAGGGAACACAGTCTCTCATTCAGGCCTCAACACAGCTGTGAAAAGGTGTTACCGTTAGGCCTGATCTCCAGGCGCACACTCGAGGCCCTGTAACGTCCCACACTTCAGCCAGGCTGCAGGGGAGCACCTGGACTCTGTGCCTGGGTCAGCCACCTCCTGCGTGGGGGAGAGGGAGACTGGGCCAGAAAAATCCTGGCATGGAGGGGGCCTGTGTGGGCTCCTCTTGATTCATACCCGTGGCTTTCGGGGCTCTCTGGTCTGTTTCCAGCTGGAGGATCGCTACTTCCAGAGAGGAACTTCCAGCCCTAAAATACAGGGTCTCTGAGCCAGGGCAATGAGGGGACATTGGGGTGAGGGTGGGGGTAGTGGGGGAAGCATGGCTTCCCTGTCTGCTCAGACTCTGAGTTTGTCTGTTTGCAAGGAAGGGAAGAGAAGCACGAGTTTTGCTGTTTAGAAAACAAAACAAACTCTTAGCATCATAAAAACTAAAATGCTCCCCTGGCCGGTTTGGCTCAGCGGTTGGAGCGTTGTCCTGTGGACCAGAGAGGCCCGGGTTCAGTTCCCGCTAGGGGCATGTACCAAAAAAAAAACCCTAAAATGCTGTTTTTCAGGGGAGGTAGGCACGTCTTTCAAACCTCCCTTGTGGAACCCAGGGCCTGCTAAGCCAAGGCAGGAAGATGCCCCAGGGCCTGAGGAGTGGGGAAGGACAGTGTCAGTGCCTGGCTGCTCCTATTCCGCCATCTATCGGCCATCTTTGGAATTGCAGGCCCATAGCACCCCTGGAGGGCTGGCACCCCTGGAATGGTTAGGGTGGAGAGAGTCACACTGGTGCATTAAATGGTGACTGAACAAGGACAAAATTCTGCTCACAGGTCTTTTTCTTGATCTGTCATATTTGCCTTGGTTTCCTCATCTGTAAAATGGGGATGAGAGTACCTGCCCTCAGTGAATGTGCTTGGGTGGTAGGTAATGAAATGGCAGTTTCCCAGCACCTGTCTTTCAAGAGAGTACATCCCCTTGAGATTGGCCAATCCAAGAAATTCTTACAAGAAGGATGGAGCGGAGAGTGGGTGGGGGCATTCTAGAATCTGTTAAGAGAGAAATTCCAGCACTGTGTCGGGGCTGTTTATGTCATTCCTTCTTTGCCCTTCTCCCCTCCATCCCTTCCTTCCACCCACAAAGCACTGGTTCTGAGGGTTTCCCAAGGGCCTTGAAATAATCCATGAAAACACTGTATAAACTGTGAAATGCTAGCACATACTGACTGTTATGAACGTTCTGGCAGTGTAACGTGGTACTCAGAGACTGAGACTACACGGATGGGGAGGCTGAGCCTCCAGGACACGTGACAGCAGGGATGTGGGCCTCTGCACGAGCTGTCCCCTCTGCCTGAAATGCTCTTCTTCAGGTCTCGACAGTCCCATCTCAGCTCAAATGTCACCTCTTTAGGGAGCTCTTGCCTGACTCCCCAAACTAAAGAATTCCCCTCCTTACCCCCAGCATTGACTTTAAATCACCTGTTTTTGTTTCCCATGGAATCTGTCTTACTGAAGTGGTCTTATGTATGTGTTTGTGTGCTGGTTGATTGCCAGGTCCCGTAGGCTCTGGGAGAACAGAGGCTTCTCTGTCTTCTTCACGACTGTGTCTCCAGTGCACAGACAAACAGTGCTTGGTCTGCAGTGAATGGACTGATGGGTGGACGGCTGAGTGGGTGGCTGGGTGGGCGGCTGGGTGGATGGATGGAGTGTCGGGCCTCACCCTGGGCCCCTGCCAATGGCCCTTCTGTGACGTCTCTGTGCTTCTTCCCCTTGCAGTGAGCATGGAGTTCGGGCGGGCCGTGTGGCTCCGGTTCCACCCGTCAGCCTATCCCCCGTGCCCTCACCCGAGCTTCGTGGCACACTTGGGTGGCGTGGCTGTGGGCATCACCCTGGGCGTGGTGGTCCTGAGGAACTATGAGCAGAGGCTGCAGGACCAGTCGCTGTGGTGGATTTTTGTGGCCATGTACACCATCTTTGTGCTGTTTGCTGTCTTCTGGAATATTTTTGCCTACACCCTACTGGACTTAAAGCTGCCACCGCCCCCCTAACGGGCTGGAAGACCCAGGGCAGGGAGGGGAGGGAGAAGCAGCATCAGAAAGGAGCATCTGTATTCTTTTGTCCCATCACCAGCTCAGTGAGGCCGGGGAGGAGAGGACAAGAGACGCGGGGCAGACAGTGGAGGCTCTTTTCTGAAAGGCACCTGCTGGAGGAGTTGGATGTGGCTACTGTTGTTTTTCTAGACTCTTCTGAAGACATCGGGCCAGTAAAGACCTGGGGTGGGGTGAGAGTGGTCGTCCCTTTGGTCTGGGCTTGTTCCATGTGTTCAGTGGTCTCCTTCCTTGTCACAGATGGGGCAACAGCCTCATCCTCCACCCTGACAGACCATGAGTGTAAGGAATGCCTGAGGGGGTAGTAGCCAGGCAGGCCCTTGTCCAGCTCAGAGATCATTGCGGCCAGGAAGTGTTCCCTCTACAGCTGGAGCACTGGAAGGGGAAGTCCCGGTGGTGAACATGTGAACTTGGCCTGGGGGAGCCCAAGGTACCTTCCTGGGCCTGTTGGTGGGCACTGGGGTGTGGCCTCTAGTGCCTGGGGTGGGCAGAGGAAGGAGATCTGTAACTCTGCCCTTGCCCTGGGGGTACCCAGCAACAGGAACCCGAGGAGGAGGGAATTCATCCTAAGTCCCACCTTAGGACTTCTCCCTTCCCCGCTCCCAGAATGCTGACGTCTCACACCAGGGCCCCAGTGTCCACGCCCTGCCTGGCTTTTAGAGTCCCGTCCTTCCCTCCCATTGCCTGACCCTACACTGTGCCTTCCCCTCTGGTTCTGGGACAGTGTTCTGATCACGTGCACAGGGTTCGGTGAGTGGAGATGCCCGTGGGGTGGGAAACGGCGAGTCGGAGACCGCAGAGGAGGACTGGGCGGCTGTGGGAGAGTCTGCGTGGGAGGAGGGAAGGGGCTGAGAGGTGGGCGGCCGCGGTCCTGAGGACCCTTGCCTTTAGCGAAGCCTGCCTCTTCTTTTCCGCGGTGGAGGGCAGCCTCCCGCCCTTCCAGGGCCTCGGGAGGCGGGGGTTTCCTTGCCTTTGCCAAGTTCTGCTCTGGCTCCTTGTGGGGTGGCCATCCTGTCTGAAAGGTTCTGGCCTGGCGTCCTCTGGAGGGAAGGAGCTCTGGGCGTTCAGGAGAGGCTGGGCGGGAACACTGAGGCCACGTGTCCTTGTGAGTTCAGGGGACAAGAGATTGCAGCGGAAGGAATTCCAGTGGAGGTGGAAACTGCTTCCAGAGGAGAATCGGGTGCTTGGGTGAGCGTCAGAGGTGAAGGCAACCTGCAGACCTAGCTTCTCCGAGCTGGGAACGAACTGGGAGATTACTGAGTCCATCCCCACCCTCGTTTCTCAAGGGAATGACCTCCTGGCAGGAGCTGGTGCAGCCCCAACAGGAGGGTGGGCAAGATGGCTTTTCACAAAACGTCATTCCCTTGTTCCCTTGGCACGGCTTTTGGAGCTCCCAACCCGAGCCCAGGAGGAGGGAGAGCCCAGGCTGGGTTTATGCAGGAACAAGGGCAGGAGGGGAGGACCTGCCTTCTGCCGGCCACTTGCCCACTTGCGTTAGAGCCGTAGGTGCACCCAGATTCAAAGTCAGCCGGGCCAGTGTGGCTTCCTGTCCCCAGTGATCACACATAAATGGGCAGGGGCTTTTTACCCAGGACACCACACTCAGCCCTAGGCTATGCCAAGCCCTTCCCTGTCTTTGCCCACTGCTAACTAGACTGTCCCGGTCCCCACCTATGGCTCATAAGGTCATGCTGCCCTTGACCAGCTGTGAGGACTGCCACCCCACGAGGCTTGGGCCCAGGTCTTCGGCTGAGCTGCGCTGCCCTGAGGCATCTTGTCTGTGCCCTCCCGGCCAGTCCCTGCCCTCCTGAGAAAGGTGTAGCTGGAAGAGTCAGCTCCTCGGAAAAGGAGACACTGAGCTGGAATGGGGGGGGGGTGTGTGCTACGACCTGGGGAAGGATGGGGAAGGGAGCCTTGGCCATGGGCTGCAGCTGCTGCTGAACCTGTGTAGTGCTGTCCCTTCCCGGAGGAGCAGAGGCAGAGGTAGCCCTGCTGGGAAGCCGGCTCTCCTCCAGACCCTCTCCTGGAACCTGGGGCTCTGGGTTGTCTAGTGAGGGAGCAGAGTCACCCCTACCCCTGCCTTTGTCTGGCGTGGCCTGGAGAGGTGCCTTCCTCTCTCGGGGGCGGGGGTGTGTGTGTGTGTGAAAAAGACTGAACTGGAAGATTCTGGAAATCCCTCCAAGCAGCATCCAGTTCCCTCAGGGCTTAGGATGGAAGCATGCTTGGGAGGACTGCCTGAGGTGGAAATCCCACCTGCCATCCTGTTAAGTCTGTTCCCGGAGGACAGCGCATCCCCCAGCCCAGCTGAGTGGCAGCTGCTCTCTGTCAGCTGAATGTCCAAAAGCAACTCTAAAGTTCTATGGTTTGCTTAACAGCCATCTCCGCCGTCCTCTCCCAGCCATCGCTTCCTAGCAGGGCCATCCAGTGGTGACAGCCTCACTTCCCACGACCCAGGTCTCTAACCCAGGGCCAGAGACTGTTGTCTCCTAAGGTTTATTTTTGGTGTAGGGCTTCCTCCTCAGCAGGTTCCCTTGTTTCCTGGCTCCCAGCACCCTGCCAGCGTCCCCACCATCCCACTTCCTCACCCACTGCCGGCCGCCTGGCCAGTGCCCCGAAAAGCTGAGGGTGGTGTGACCCTTCAGGCTGTGGAGCAAGGTCGGCTTTTCATCCACACCGCACAGAAATGGAAATCGGGGGACTCCCCAAACAGCAGCCACAGACTCGCTGGCTCGTTAAACGGAAGAGGAATCACAGAAACCGGGGGAAGGAAAACAAACCTTCAAAGGAGAAATTTCACTTTAATGACACCATTCATCATTCGTTTTTTAATTAGGAAAAGCTCCCTAATGAGGCGCTTTTGCCAGCTAATAGGACTCTCAATTTCCATGAGAACGGTTCTTGCCCGGAGGGTTAGGAGAGTCCCTGCTCACCAAGCCCAGATCTTTCCCCCGTGTCCAATTTCATTTGCAAATGATGCAGGTTCCCGGGGCGGGCGGGCGGGACTTCCTGGCATCGGTCTCCTGGCGCCCAGGGCTGGCTGGAAAGCACCAGTACTCCTCTGCCTTAAAAACAGTGCCCAACACTGGACTCTGACTTCTCCCCCCAAGGACTTGAGTAAGTGGAAAACAAACAAACAAAAAACATAAGCTGCAATGTTTGTTTCTAAATATTTTTGTATTGTGTACATTCTGTATATTTTTGTTGTAACATATTATTTGAGCACAGATTCCATTAAAGATTTTTTTTTTAAGCCATCGGTTATTCAGAAAGTGACCTGAAGGGCCTAGCCTGTTTCATCTCGGTCCGGGTCAGGGTGTGGGGGGAGAGGGACTGCAGTGGTGGTGGTGGGGTCTGTGATTTGTATGATACACATGGGGGTTACTTCTTGGTGCTGGTGTTTCTGGCTTGGTGGTTCTTAACCTTTCTCGAATTACTGAACTCTTTTGAGTGGTTGATGAAAGGTATGATTTCTCTTCCCATAAAAAGGCACAGTTTTGTGTACAACTGGGGGTGGGGCTGTGAATAAGGAAACTGATCCACGGCTTCAGGTCAAGAACCTCTGGGCCAGCTGTCTGGTGGGTGCCCCGCCTTCCCTTCTATACCCCGAGGAGAGATTAATATTTTGACTACTGTTATTGGAGGAATCTTCTTTGACATGTCTTAGGCACTTCCTTCATACCCTAGCAGCCTAGTCTTTAGGTCTTTCTGGGGACTGTCAACACCCTGACCTTGAGGAAGGGATAGGAATGTTCTCAGGGCAAAGGGTATGGCCGGTTCACAAAAAGGGAAAGGAAGAGCCTAAATGTCAAGGTGAAGTCTGTGCGTTGTAAGTTTCACGATCAAGTGGGCTGGGAATGGATGCGTTTCCCCAGTTTTCTAAGCCAGTGTAGTGTTGCCATTCATAACTTAAGTTTCATTTGAGGATTAAACGACCCTGTTCAATTCAGCGTGGGAGTTGTTTCCCGTAATGTTCTTTCCCATCAGTTTCCTGTGTATCATTGTAAAATATTTCTGAATGCTGCTGAAGTCATCCCGGAACAAACTTCAGAGCACAGTTCAGGCTGAAGGTGAAAGAACCCACTTCTGCTTGGAGTGTGAACGACCCTGTAAGGAAGGTCGGGACCCTGTGTGAGCACGGTGTCCTTCCCGTGGGTCAGTTCTGGGCCCTACACGGGGGCATTTAAAGCTCCCTGGACAGACAAAAGCTGTTTAGTTAGCTTTGTCTTTGGCCTCCTATCCCTTCCCTCTTCACTTTCCTGGTTCCTCCCTTCCACCTGATTCTCACTCTTCCAATAACCTGATGTTTACTGATAATAGGAACAGAGTTTATTGAGTACCATATGAGGTGCTAGGCACTGGATGAAACATTTTCAATATATTATTCTTTTTTCTCCCGGCCGGTGTGTCTCAGTGGTTGACCATCTACCCATGCACCAAGAGGTCACCGGTATGATTTCCAGTCAGGGCACATGCCCAGTTGTAGGCTCAGTCCCCAGTAGGGGGCACAGAGGAGGCAGCCAGTTGATGTTCTCTCTCACATTGATGTTTTTTTTTTTAATCCTCACCCACGGACATTTTTCCATTTTTGTTCAGACAGAGTGGGAGGGAGAGAAAGGAAGTGAGAGAGAGACATCGACGTGAAAGGGACACATTGAGTGGCTGCCTCCTGCATAACCCCAAGCAGGGCTAGGGACAAACTGCAACCGAGGTACATGCCCTTAGCAGTAACCGAACCCGGGACTCTCTGGACCAACAGGCCGATGCTCTAATCGCTGAACCAAACCGCCCAGGATGATGTTTCTGTCTCTCTTTTTCCCTTCCTCTCTAAAAATCAATGAAAATGCCCTGGCCGGTTTGGCTCAGCGGTTGGAGCGTTGGCCTGCGGTCCGGAGAGACCCGGGTTCGGTTCCCGCTAAGGGCGCGTATCTCGGTTGCAGTTTGTCCCCGGCCCTGGTCGGTTGTGCGGGTGGCAGCCACTCGATGTGTTCCTTTCACATCGATGTTTCTCTCTCTCTCTCTGTTCCTCTCTCTCCCTCCCACTCTACCTGAACAAAAAATGGAAAAATGTCCTCGAGTGAGGATAAAAAAAAAAAAAAAAAAATCAATGAAAATATTATTAAAAATAAATAAAATATATTATTCTTTTTTTATTGCATATCTAGTTGATGTAAAGTGGATATAAATGTCCCCGTATTTACACAAGGGAGACTTAGGGAAATTAGTAACTTCCTGATTGCATATGGCATGGCTGGATTCATACCCAAAACTGTCTGCTTCCCAAATTCATGCTCTCAGCCCTGCAGTGTTTGTGTGGGACTTCAAGGATACTAAATCTGTAGAAGTGTCGGGGTGTTTGTTTAAAGTCCAGTCTCACTGTTTTAGGCCCATCCAGTAACAGCAGTGAACCCTGGAACATTCACTCCGTGTTTGCTTAACAGAATCTCCACTTTGCCCTCTTAGTAGTTTATAAGCAAATCCACAGCTATCAATTCATGACTGCTTCTTATCACTCCCAGTTTCCAGACTCTAGCATTTGTGCCGACTCAGAGAGATGTAAAGTCTGTGAGTCATGTCTAGGAAGCTGAGCAGTTCTAGGACTGGAGCGTCCTCCTAGACCTCCAAGTGGAAAGCCTTCACCGATGCCAGCCGGGCTCCCATTACTGAGAAGACTCATGGCTAGGAAGGAGTAGTCCTAGGAACGGAATCTTATTTCCGAGAAGCCTGCAGGCTTTTCTGGCATCTGGTCTAAGTGATCCTCTGGTAAAGAATAGGCATTCTGTCATGGTTAATTATGAATGGGAGTAAAAGGAAGTGACCTGGGTTATCCAGTTCTATAGGTATAGCTTTACTGGACAGTAAATAAAACATTGTGATGGAAACTGCTCTCACACCTTGCCTGATGCCTCTTGTGACATGCAGGAAGATGTATTCCAGCAGGTGACTGGATTCTCTTCAACAAATTCCTTAGCATAACAATTATAATTTCCCCATAAACTTGTGAATTAGTAAAAATGTCAGGCCTGAGAATTGAGCTCATTAAATAAAAATGACTGTGTTGGTGAGAAGCTCAGTTGTTTTATTATTATTATTACTATTATTACAAACATAATTACAGATAAACTGAAACCATTTTGATACATGACAAACATACATTTCCCGTGTGTATATAGCACACAAATAACACACAAATGTATTCCACATTGAACAAATCCTTTTTAAAGCTTTAAACATTAATACATTAGTGTACTAAGATTTGAATACAGTACAGGTTTCTGGTCATGAGCTGAGTTTCTTCTCATGGCCAAGACGACATCCAGTTCCATGTCACCATTTTCCTTGCCTACAGTAGTGATCTAGTTTGTCACAGGCTTTTACAATAAGACTATTGTATACAACTGTGTAATGTAGTGAGCCAACATCACAAAATATATATAAAAGTACATATAAAGAATATATAGTTATAGCTTGGCTGGTGTGGCTCAGTGGTTGAACGTCGACCCATGCACCAAGAGGTCACCAGTTCGATTCCTGGTCAGGGCACATGCCTGGGTTGCAGGCTCCATCCCCATTAGGGGGCGTGCAAGAGGCAGCTGATGGATGTTTCTATCTCTCTCTCCCTCTCCCTAACTCTCTAAAAAAATCAATAAAACATTAAAAAAAAAAGAATATATAATTATACCTTGACTATTCATAAATGGCTTGAAGCAGGTAATACATTTGCTTTTAAATGCCATTTACAGCATGGACTCTTGAATGACATGTGAATTTGTCATTCAAAAAATACGTTTTTCAGACTCAAAATGTTGATTTCCTAATGTTTATTAAAAATTTAATTTCCAAGTGGGCAACCAAGTACATTAGAAAAAGCTGGATTCAAGGGAAGTGCCATAAAATTGCTCACTTCCCATAGTCATTCTGAATGTAATGCTATAAAAATGCTACTTGGATTTTTTTCTGCACTGCCTACAATCCAAGTTATTAAAGTTTAAAACCATGTGAAAGCCTTTATGAAGATCCTGAATTGTATTTCTCATTAAAGGAAAAGAAATGGCTGGGTGAGTCATGTCCCTCGACTTCTGTAGAAGACAAAGCAGGCCAATGTCAATCATTTTGAAAGTTAAAACTCAGCACTTAATGTGAATTTATATGAGTTTAGGAGAGGGTTTTTATGAACCTGTGTTCCTCTGAGCATCCTGAGGGCAGCGAGAACATAAGACTTCCGATCATCTAAACAAAAATCATTATCAGATGGATTTATTAAAGAGCTATGCAGAACAATCGTGTGTGTAGCTACAACTGGCTTTCATGAGAATTATAAATGGCTCTAGCTGAGGGCACTTTCAACTGAGTCAGAGTAAAACAATGAGGCTTGAAAATAAAGTACAAAAAACTAAAATCAATGAGTAACTCTGATATGAAGACTCTCTGTGTTCTTTATGTTATAGTTTGCTTGTAAAATATATGTACTTTGTTTCTTTTTTAACACTCTGTTTAAAAACTCCAGCATTTTCATATAAAAGTAAAAAGAAAATACAAGCTCTTGGCTAATACCTGTGAACAAATGAAGAAAAGTGATGGGGGCCACCTCTCCAGTAGCTTTCCATCAGAGATAATGTTTTATCTTGAAGCTAGTGCCTCTATTTTTAAAGCTCCTTTAATTTCTTACACACTCATGATTTATTTGCATATTGACTTCAAAGCTGGCTTCATCATCCATACCATTACCAATCAGACAAAAATCTATCAAGTACCTACAGGATGCACAGATCTGTCTTTGGTGCTAACCCGTCCTAAGACTAGGAGTACATTTTGAGAAAGAAGTTTTATGATTTTTCTGAGAGCAAAGGTTGCTAAATAATACAGCAAACTCCTGAGAGAAGCCACAAAATCACCTCTGAAGTTTTTTAAGCAACAACTCCCTGAAGTCTAGAATTTATGGGACCAGCAATGTACTAAAATTCCACAACTCTTAACACACTTCTATCTAGGATTCAATGAAGACATTCCTCAGATTTTCATGTCTAATTAAGTTACATTTTAAAAGTACAAAATGGAAAAAATCTGGAATGCATTTCAAATAATCAAACAGCAATCCTATTTACAACTGTAATTTCAAACATCAACGCTACAATATACAACTTCACAATACAGTTATCTCAAAACATGATCAAAAGCTTTGGGCAGGAGCTTCTTTCATAAATTCTTCGAGGACAGCTACCACATTTTTGGCTTCAGGCATTTCTTCGTGTTCCACTTTAACAATTTTCAAAAGGATATCTCCACTACCACAGTTCTTTAGGAACATGTAACATTTAAACAATGCATAATGATTCATTTCTGCCTGTCGGATAAATCTCTTCAAATTATTTGTGTCTTGTATGGCCTAGAAAAAATGATCACCCTGTTAAATATGTGAGATAATGAAGCCTGAAAAATATTTCCTATCAATCTGAACACTGTGTTGCTGAGATGTTTGCTTTTTATTTTAAATATTTCCATCATTTTTATCACTGATATGCTTTGCACTTGGTAGAACAAAATTTCTTATACAAAGTAAAAATACTTAAAAATATCTCCTAAAATAAGGTGACAACACTCTTCCCCACCAGATATTTGAACCCTTGGGCACTAAGCCACTTTTTTTGTGCTTTCCGACTAAAATATGTCTCAAATTATAAGGTTAATATCCCTGAGATATAAGCAAGCATTCACCCCAATTAACTAGAAATGCAATGATATGTATGCAGCAGCCACTGAAAAACATAAAGTAAATGCCTTCTGAGGATTCTAGTTTAGAGAACGTCTTACTTAATAGACACAGCTATAAAGCAGATTTGTTACTCTGTCACTGGAACTAATTAAAATCCAGACAAAAGTTACATATGGCACTTGGCACACAGACTATTAATTACCTTGAGTTTAAAGTTCTCCAGTACTTGTCGAAAAAGAAAAGGGTTACCTCCTTCAGTGCCATTTAGAAAAGCCTGCATCCACTCCTCACAAAAGCGGTTGCTTCCTATAAAATATTTTAGAAAAAGTAAATAAAAATGGAATTCTGCAAAATGCAGACATCTATTCTTTTTCTTTCTATTTATTTTAAATTGAGGTATAACTGACATATAACATTATATTAGTTTCAAGTGTACAACATAATGACTTGGTATTTGTACATATTGTGATATTCGTTATTTCTTTTTATTTATTTATTTATTTATTTATTTATTTATTTATTTATTTATGTTTTATCCTCACCCGAGGACACTTTTGCGTTTATCTTCAGATAGAGTGGGAAGGAGGGAGGGAGGGAGGAAGAGAGAGAGAGAAACATCGAAGTGAGAGAGACACATTGAGTGGCTGCCACCCACATAACCTCAACTGGGGCCGGGGACAAACCGCAACCGAGGTACATGCCCTTAGCAGGAACTGAACCCAGGTCTCTCTGGTCCGCGGGCCGATGCTCTAACCGCTGAGCCAAACTGGCCAGGGCGATATTCTTTATTTCTTTATAAAAATACTTATAATGGCCCAGCTGGTGTGGCTCAGTGGTTGAGCGTCGACTTATGCACCAGGAGGCGACTGGTTTGATTACAGGTCAGGGCACATACCCAGGTTGTGGGCCCGGTCCCCAGTGGGGGGGCGTGCAGGAGGTGACCAGTTGATGATCTCTCTCATTGATGTTTCTATCTCTTTCTCCCTCTCCCTCTAAAATCAATAAAGAAGAAATATTTTGCCCTGGCCGGTTTGGCTCAGCGGTTAGAGCGTTGGCCTGCGGTCCAGAGAGACCCGGGTTCGGTTCCCGCTGAGGGCACGTACTTCGGTTGCGGTTTGTCCTCAGCCCTGGTTGGTCGTGCGGGTGGCAGCTGCTCGATGTGTCCCTTCACATCGATGTTTCTCTCTCTCTCTCTCTCCCTCCCTCTCTCTCCCTCCCTCTCTATCTGTACAAAAAGTGGAAAAATATCCTCGGGTGAGGATAAAAAAAAAAAAAAAAAAAGAAGAAATATTTTTTTAAAAAACCATGTACAATGAGTTATTTAAGACTTCTACACCAGTCTTAAAAAATACTGTACTCACCACCTGGCTAAAAACACCAAAATGGCTGAAGCCCCCATGTACTGCTCCCAAGTGCATTCCCCTCCTTTCCCATCAGAAAGGATACTGTTCCCATGTATTTCTTGTCACATACTTTTGTATCTCTAAGCTCTATATAGTATTATTTTGCATATGTCATCTTTATGTATTTTTATTTTTTTAATGTATTTTTTATTGTTGACACTATTACAGATGTTTCCCATTCCTCCCCCCCCCACCCAGCCTATGTATTTTTTTTTAATGACTGTTTTTTTGTTGTTTTTTTTTTTATCCTCACCGGAGGGCATTTTTTCATTTTTTTTGTTCAGGTAGAGTGGGAGGGAGAGAGAGGAACAGAGAGAGAGAGAGAAACATCGACGCGAAAGGAACACATCAAGTGGCTGCCACCCGCACAACCGACCAGGGCCGGGGACAAACTGTAACCGAGGTACACGCCCTTAGCGGGAACCGAACCCGGGTCTCTCAGGACCGCAGGCCGACGCTCCAACCGCTGAGTCAAACCGGCCAGGGCTTTAATGACTGTTTTACTAGTATGTTTGTGAGCTATATGGAGACATTTAGCTCTAGTTCATACATTTTCACTGGTATATAGTATTATATTGCATGGATATAGCAATTTATCAGATAATTTTCCTATTGATGGAATGACTTTATAAACATTTTTGCACTTGTCTCCTTGTATAAATATATAAGAGTTTTTCTATATATTTAGGAGTGGAATTGCTAGGCATTGCACAGGGAAGGAAGGATACGTCTGTGCCATTTGTTCAGAGTACAAAAACAGAGACAGACTCACAACACCCACAGGACGGCTGCTTCAAAGGCTGTGACTCACCTGCATTGTAGAACTGAGGCTGGGAGCTACTGCAATCAATGACCACAGACTTATGCTGTTCCTCCGTCATGGCCATGCACAAAGATGTCATGGTGCCTTCATGAATAAGGCCCTGAAGACTGGCCACATTCAGAAACCTGCCATACATACAGTCCTTTTCCACAAACAATATTGCAGGATGGGAGGGAGAAAGCAAATTCATTCTGCACTATAGGAGATTTAAAAACATGAATATCAGGCTCTGGCCGGGCAGTTAAGTTGGTTGGAACATTGTCCCAATATGCCAAGGTTACGGGTTCAATCCCCAGTGAGGGCACATAAAAGAAGCAACCAATGACTGCATAAATAAGTGAAACAATAGACTGATGTTTCTCTCTCACTCAAATCAATCAATTAAGAATTTTTAAAAATACCCTTTAAAAATTTTTTTAAATAATAAAAATATAAATATCAGGCTTGCTGTGTAAAAGGTCCTCTCTTTGCAAAACTATTATTTACCTGTTAATGTCCCTCTTTGTTTTTTCATCTGATTCTTTAACCTCAACAGGGGTATAACTCAGAGCCTATGAGAGAAAAATAAAGCCTAACTGATATATGTATTCCAGTTTTCCTTACTGAGCACTGAGCAGCTACTTGTGACGAAGCATCACCTTCCCCAGAATCACCGCATGCTTGACGGGTATTGCCCAGCTCTCCAGAGCCTCGTTCAGCTGCTGCTCACTAACAGGCTGAAACGTGGCTTTCCCACCTGGTCTCACAGGACCATTCAGTCTCAGCTGCATCTACCCACTACAAATTTAAATGAAAAATCGGGCAATTTACTCAGGCCTTCCCCAGTGTCTGAATATCTTAGTGAATTTTCATTTTTTACCCGGACATTTATATATAGTTAAAATGCTCTGGGCTTCTGTTTTCCTTCTCAAATTATTTTGGATATTACACCTCTCCCAGATCATTTCAAAAAGTAATTATTTTAAAATGTTTTATCCTATTACAAAGACTCACTATTTGCAATCCCACCTTAGTAATGTGACTTTCTAGATCTGAATAAAAAGAATATTACTCAAACTATTCAGCAGGGGGAAGGTAATGTTAAAGAAAATGAATAAGTCTTTAAATAATCCAAACTCTGCCCAAGTGATTCTCAATTAAGGAAATGCTTTTGTTTGGGCAATACTTACGGCATGTAGCAAAAAGGTAAGCTTCTCCTGAAAGAGAAGAACCACCCTCTGGATTGGGCATACAACATCCTCAAACCAGCTGCTCAGGTAGGATTTTATATGGTTCTCCAGGCCGCTTTCCTACATCGAGAGAGAATGTCACTGCTTTCATATAAGCCTTCACCTTAGTGGACTTAACATTTTCTTCACAATACTTTTGACAGTGAAAAGAACTGAGACCAGACACCTTTTTAAAGCTAATACCCCAACTCAAAAGAGGAGTTATGATATAAAACACTCTAAGATATGCATTAAACAAAATGAAAGACTAAACAGGGTTCTATGCTGTATCTTCACTGGAAGGAGTTGTGCATTACCGTCCATCTCCCCACAGTATATGGTGTACTCATTGGAGATACTCTCCTAATAATACTGTCTCCCTAGCACCTGGTACAGTGTCTGAAACATGTATTAACTTATAAAGTGCTGGTTGAATGACTAAAGGAATGTAGACAATTCATTCACACTCAAAATTTGAATAGGGAAGAATACAAGTTAATTTGTCAAAACACTCAAACCCACTCCAGTTGTCAGACATGCTGCCAAGAGCACATCTGGCTTCCCAGGCTGTGCTGCTCTCTGAGGACTAGTGGAATTGTTCTAATCTGGGAGAGCAGCTCCCCCTAGACTCATATCTCTGGCTCACTCTTATGCTATCCTTCCCTGCAGTGTCTTGTAAGTGCATGATAATAAAAGGAGATATTACTATAGGTAACGGGTAGTAAATTTATGAGTTATGACTTTAAAAGCTGCTACAAGCCCAGCCTGTGTGGTTCAGTAGTTGAGCATTGACCCATACACCAAGAGGTTCAGATTCCCGGTCAGGGCACATGCCCGCCCAGGTTGTGGGCCAAATCCCCAGTAGGGGGCATGCAGGAGGCGTCCAATCGATGTTCTCTCTCATTGATGTTTCAATCTCTCTCTCCCTCTCCCTTCCTCTCTCTCAAAAATCAATAAAAAAAAACAAACTGCTACAAGCCGAATGCATAGTGTTTAAAAAAGGTACGGAGCTTATCTAGTATGGCTCAGTGGTTGAGTGTCAACCCATGCACCAAGAGGTCGCGATTCAATTCCTGGTCAGGGCACATGCCCAGGTTGTGGGCCAAATCCCCAGTAGGAGGCATGAAAAAGATGGCTAATTGATATTCTCTCTCATTGATGGTTCAACCTCTCCCTCTCCCTTCCTCTCTCTCTAAAATCAATAAATAAATAAATAAAATTAAAAAGGTATGGATAAATTAATAGATATGGATATATCTAATAAGAGAGCAATGAATAAAATGGAATATTTCTAAAAATCTTTGATATTGAGTTCAAAGACAGTCATACTGTTGAGTAGACTGTCTCTTGTGCCAGAGGCTTCATGCACCATTAGTTCTGACCATAATATAAATTGAACTGGTGACCGCTTGGTGCATGGGTTGACGCTCCACCAGTGAGCCACACCACCTGGGCCATAACATAAATAACATAAATATAAATTGTGCCTAGAAATCAAGAGAAGAGTATCCTCTTCCTCATTTGGCATGTTACCATATAACACTGAATTTAATGGATTGAATTTTTCATGGATACAAAACATCAGAAGCAGTCTTATGTAACTTATAGCACTTAAAGGACTATGTTCCCTGCTTTACTTAACAAGTACCTTTCAACTAGCCCTCAAAGCAGCGCACTTTTAGAACTTAGGTGTCATTGTGTCTACCTGTATAATTAGACAAGTATAAAAGTTATAGTATGTTAATCACCTGTCTCAAAACACTATTGACTCAATCATCTTACCTCACAGCTCATGTTATTTTTCAGCCCTTGAATGTACTTGTCCAATTCAAGCCTGAAAGTATGTTCTTAAGGAATAATAAAGGATGAATCAAGAAAATGTTTTATCTTTCAATAGGAAATATAAAATCTTGCAAATAACACACACTGTAAATTAAAATAAGCCAAGACAAACTGATCATATGATGGTATGAAATTCAAGTAAATACATAAAGGGTAGGAACAGCTTTTGGAAGTTGGTAGTAACACCCACTTGCCTCCCCACAATTCCCTTCCTGATATTCTCAAAGACCAAAGAAAGGATATAGCTCAAGTCCTTTTTCAGACCCTCCTAAAAAACAGACCACATACTCTGAAGGGTTACGTTCAGAGTCCATTGTTGCTATTTCAGGAAGTAGTTTTTCTTGTTGGAAAAGGCAGTAGTAACAACCAACCCGGTAACCTGGAATTCTAGAAAAGGAAGAAAAAGGTACAATGTATTATTCTGATAACTGATGCAACTAATTTTATGGGCTGCTCTGAACCCTGGTCTATTGATCTGGCAATACTGTTATATTGCTAACTAGGTCAGAACTTTTCAGACTTCTTGGTTTCCTCATAACAGCAGAAGAAAATAAATGTATACCATGATGAGCTTCAGCTAAAGCAGCACCTAACAAATACAGAATTTCTTTGAATTTACCTGTTTTATGTGAAAAATTCATGCAAATTTCACTCTCGTTCATAGTACATTCACGTCTACATAAATATAAGCACATTTTATCCCTTCCCCAAACCTTCACATATCATTGAAGCAGATGTGACATGTTTATCCTGTGGCCTTATCTCTGACCTGTGGCCTCACATTCCTGAGGGTACTTGATACCAACATCATGGTCTGAAGTGAACTACAATCAAGGTGTGTAATGGAAAGATGGCTGGAATTCAACTGAGGATACCTATATTTAAGCTTGAACTCCATGGATGTGACCAGCCTTGTGACATGAACTTCTCCAGTTCCTCGTCTGAAAGCGTGAGAGTGTCTGCTCTATCACATGCCCTTTGTAGAGAGAATGGCATCCAACTTTGTGAAAGCACTTCACAAACTGCACAGTATACAATTTTAGTTTTGTAATTAACTCTTTCCAAGTACAAGACTAAGTAAGTACACTTAGGAGGCAAAGTCTCCGCCATTCAATTAATTCCACCCCGCAAATGTTTATGTGAAAGGCGCAGTGCTTGGGCAGGCAGAGAACAAAGATGAATTTTCAGGTCTAGTGGGAGCTGATTTTTTGGAGTTTCTCATCACTTCTCATATTTAGCTCAGAAATAAAAACTCAGGACACAGCACATTTTACACTTACCTCAGCTCCACAGATGCAACATTACCCAGCCCTTCAAAGACTGCTCCCTTAGAAAGACGCTTAGCAATGAAACTGCGCAGCTCTGGCTCCACTTCAGATGGTAGATTAGTATCCACCAAGGAGAGGCTTGACAAATGAAAGACAGCCCTTATTCCGTCCGTCAGACAGATTATTAACAAAAGTTAAAATCCCTTTAAGGACTTGAAAAAACTTTACTATTGGTGAGGCTGCTAGGAATGTATGTCATCAAGTATGAGCTACCTCATCAAACTGTTGAAAACTGTACTCTTTTCAGCTCATTCTGTCTAGTAGTATAACTCCAGTGGGACCCCCAACCCACTGGCCTTACCTTTTTTTCATAGTCCCTCAAGTTTCTCATCTCACTTCTCTCCTCCTTACCCAGCTTATATTCCATGGTCAGTCATTATACTCAGACCCCTGCACGTATTCTCATTCAGCCCCTTGTTATTTTCACCTCATTTACTTGCTTAGCAAAACTTCAGCCCTGAATGGTCCTGCTCTGCACATGCATCTATGCAGTTGAATCCAGGTAAACAAAAACTCACATCCACAGTGCACAGTCTCATCTTAAATGAATGATCACTGGCCTCAGGTGGGCCCTGCTCTAACTACATTTCCTGGTTCACTTACTCACTCTTCTACTCTCCTAGCCCACTATTTCATGCCTCCTCTTTTTCCCTCAATCCTCCATCTACCTCTTACCCATGAATAAACACTCTAGCTTAGCAATTCTTTATGAACTAAAAATAAAAAAATTTAGTTTGGTTTAGGTTAGAATATAAAAAATCTATAAGTTGAATATGCAGAAAAAAAGGTCTTCTATCACCAAACTTCTCAATAGAGAATATGAACCTAATACTTCTCAAGATCTTTTGTTTTATATTATGGAAACTTTAAAACACATACAAAGTAGAGAGAATAGTATGATGAACTCACATATACACATCACCCAGTTTTAACAATTAGCAGCTTATGGCCAATCTTGTTTCACCTGTACCCCCATGCTTGTCGGTACCCTTCCACCTTCCAGACTTATTTTGAAGCCAGTCCCTGGCATCATATCATTTCAACCATAAATTTATCACTGTATAAATCTCTAAATCTCTATCTCTACTTTGCTTCAAGTGTTAAGGTTGATTCATTCATTCACTTAATAAATATGTATTAAATGTCTACCCTTGCCAGGTATCAGTCAAGGTATTAGGTAGGGAGACATTAATGAACAAAGGAGACACAATCCCTACTGTCCTGGAGTTTACATTTTAGTGTTTTGCAGAGGAGCTATGAACGGTATTCTAAGAGTGAAAAAAAGGAGGATTTTAAATTTCTTGGTACCTTGGTGCCCTCTTAGCACAGTAAGCAGCACATCAGTCTCATAAATTTCTTGGTACGCATATGATAGTGAATGAATATTTACTGGAGTTCCAATCAAGAAACTCAGAATAATTGTCTCTGGCTAAACACCCTGGGCACTGTCAGTATTTAGATTTGCCCCAGCCTTGAATGAATGAGCTAGTGAGGAAATCAAGATGAGGTTCTTGGAAACAGGTGGGCTTGATGGTTTGACTCAGGGAAAGTTGAACGGAAGTAGGGTACCCCTTGACACCTACAGGGGAAAAGATGCGCGGAAGACAAAAGCACAGGCATGAGTTATGGTCAAGCTGTTTTTACCTGAAATCATCACCAGAGGGAGATTCTGCATTTGTGCCACTTGGGCTTCCATCATCACTGTCCCCTCGCTGCGCTGCCAATCTAAACACCACAAAAGCAAACAGAGCTATCAGTCATGGGCTCTAACTCAAACGGAAAACAGGCGGGCCCCCAGCAAACAGGGTTAAGGGCGAACAATCAACGAAAATGCTGCAAGGCAGAAGGGCTTACGTAGCCTCATGCCAGGGAAAATCCATACAACAGAAAAGGAGCCCCTTTCTCTCTCCAGGCCACATAAGGGATGGAGGAAAGGAAATTAAATATCCATGAGAGTCAAGGAAATTTCCCCTAAAAATCAGACTTTAAAGAGCCGAGAACCCCAGGAAAGTCGGCCGAGCGGAGGGAAAAGAGGCAGCAAGGACCGGGGATAACCAGAGGGTGGGGGTGAGGAGGTGAGGAAGTGTGGGGGAGATGGAGGAAAGTGGGGCGATAATGAGAAGGACGGGGGATGAAACTGACAGTACTGGACACGCGAGGCACGGCGCTAAACAAAGGACGCGGCGACGAGAAGGGGCTGAGGAAACTGGGCCGGCTGGAGCGCAGAAGCTTGGCAGCACCAGGCACGAAAGTCCCGGAAGGGGCCCGGAGGGACGGCGTGAGCAGGGCCCTTCGGGCCACAACCCTCCGCCGGCGGAGAAGATGGCGTTGAGCGCGGCCAGGCCGCCGGGCCGGGGTGCGAGGCGGCGCCGGGGCGGGGCCACGGGACGGCCGCGCGCTGCACCTGCTTCCGCGGTAGCCGTAGAGGCAGTAGTGGCTGCTGGGCGGCGGCTCGAATCTCCGCTCTTCGGCGGAGCCACCCTCCTCGCTGCTCTCTAGCTCCTTTTCATCCCCATCCAGCGATTCCTGCAAGGAGGGGAGCATCGCGGCAGCCTCCGAGCGGCCCTGTGTCCCCTCCAAACCGCTCCCCCGCTGCCGTACAGTCCTCGGCGGCCGGGCTCGTCCGGCTCCCGGCCCTCGTGCGCCTGCGTTCCGCTGGTTTCCCTGGTTTCCCAGGCAAGAACGCTGGTCTGAAAGGGCTTCCCACCCCCGGCAGGGGCTAGCGGGCGCACTCAATTACCAGTTCTATTTTAACTCCCTTTTCACCTTCGTCTATCGTTTAAGACGTCTAGGACACTTTCTATGTGGTAAAGATGGTACTACTAGCTAGGCACATGGAAAAGATAAAGCCGCCCTCCCTACGTCCTTTCGGGCGCGCTAACACACACCTACATACACACCCGTTTGATCACAGATTTCAAATTTTAAAAGGAAGCCCCTCCCTTAAAAAAAAGGGGAGAATTTTTTCAATGCTCGAAGAAGGCCTTTCTAAACATAACGGGACACTTAGAAGCTATATAGGAAAAGATTAATAAATCTGACTATGTTTAAAACTAATTTCTGTGTAACCTGAAGTCGAAATACAAATGACAAACTACGGAAAATACTTTTGCAATATATATAATAAATGAAGGACTGTCACTTTTCAATGAACAAAAGAACATAGACAATGGGCAGTTCACAGAACAAATGAAAAAGAATACATGAATTGCTCAACTTGAAATAAAATATATGGTATATTGTACTACTTTTCACCTAACAGATTAGCAGAGATTTAAAAGTTTGATAGTACCCTGTATTGGGCTGTGTAAGAAAAAAATCATTCTCATAAAGTCAATAGTAATAAAATTAGTGTACATGCTTTGGAAAGAAATTTGAAAATATTCTATCAGTGTTTTAAATGCACATGCCCTTTGACTATCAATGTAACACCAGTACATCATCAAATAGATACATTTACCTAAGTGTGAAAATGTACTGAGTCCACATAATCTTTGTAGCATGGTTTCTATCGATGAAAAACTGGACAGAATCTGAATGATGGTCAACAAGGGAGTGATTAAATAAGTTATGGCACATGTGGTGGTAGGCAGACTAATGGCCCCCGAAAGATGTCCACATTCTATCTCTGCAACCTGAGAATGAGTTACCTCATAATGTGAAAAGAACTTTGCAGGTGTGATTAAAGATTTTGAAATGGGAAGATTATCCTAGATTATCTAAGTGTGCCCAATGTAACCACAAGAGTCTTTTTAAGAGGGAGATGAGACCAGAGAGGAAAAGGCAATTGAGATACATACCTAAAGCCACTAAATTTGTGGTAATTTGTTACAGCAGCAATAGGAAACTGGCATACATGTGTATCAGAAGACTATACAGCTATTTAAAAAGAGTGAATTCGAATATGTGCACATATAGAAAGAGAATCCAGTATTTACGTTTTTGTCCTAAAGGAGCTGGCAACACAACTGAAGAGACAAAGCATGCACACAGGGAAGGGCAGAATGTGATTATTGCCAAGAAAGTAATGTGGACAGTTAGGGTGATCTTAGGAATCTTATTACTGGCCTCTTGAGCTTGACCATCTACGAATATAATCTGAGGACATGAGGCTTTTCAAGTTCGTCTATCAACTGCCAATAGCAATAATATCAATATAGCAGGTATAGTTTAACAATTGCTATATTTGCAGTAAGCATGGGTCAGGATATTTACCTGCTTTAATTTCATTTATCATTGGGCCAACTCTGTAACAGAGAAGTTTATTCTCTTTTTTGAAAAATATTTTATTCTTTATTGATTTTAGAGAGAGAGGAAGTGGGGGAGAGAGAGAGAGATAGAAACATCGATGAGCCCTGGCCAGTTTTGCTCAGTGGTTAGAGCGTCGGCCTGCAGTCCAGAGAGACCCGGGTTCGGTTCCGGCAAAGGGCACATACCTCGGTTGCAGTTTGTTCCCGGCCCTGGTTGGGTTGTGCGGGTGGCAGCCACTCAATGTGTCCCTTTCACGTCGATGTTTCTCTCTCTCTCCCCCTCCCACTCTATCTGAACAAAAAATGGAAAAATGTCCCCGGGTGAGGATTAAAAAAACCAAAAAACAAAAAAAGAGAAACATCGATGAGAGAGAACATCAATTGGCTGCCTTCTGCAGGCCCACAACCTGGGCATGTGCCCCGACTGGGAATCGAACGGGCAACCTCTTGGTGCATGGATTGATGCTCAAAAACTGAGCCACACCAGCCGGGCTTATTCTCATTTTATAGATGGGGAAACTGAGGCTCAGTCAATATAAGTGATCAAACTCTGTTTATCTGACTTCCAAATCCATACTCTTAACTGTTATTTTATATTGTATTCACTTTTTGGGTCTTAGAAATAACCCTGAGAATAAGTCCCCAACAGTGTGGCATACAGGAGCCTTCATGATCTAGCTTCTACCTAACCCCGACTTTATTTCCTATCACCATCCCCACTGCTCACTCTGGCCTAGTCACATTCCTTGGTGTTTCTCAAACACTCCAATTTTTGTTCCAATTTAACAGTTGTTTTTTTTTAATCTTTACCTGAGGATATTGTTTCTATTTATCTTCAGATAGAGTGGGAGGGAGAGAAAGGGAGAAAGAGAGAGAGAGAGAAACATCGATGTGAGAGGGATACATCAACTGGTTGCCTCCCACACGACCCCGACCAGGGTCAGGGACTACCCTCTACCACTGAGCCAAACTGGCCAGGGCCAGTTTAATAATCTTTTAATTTACTCTTCTAGCTGCCTGAATTGTCCCTAGATATCTCCATGTCTTCTTCCTTCACATCATTCAGGTCTCTGCACAAATGGCATCTCCTCAGAGACCTTCTCTGACTGTGCTCATAGGCCACATGCTAGGATAGAGGATATAGCAGTGATCAAGCTTACATTCTAGTGGGGGACACAGACAATAAAACAAATACTGTCACCCAGCCTATGTGGCTCAGTGGTTGAATGTTGACTCATGCACCAAGAGGTCACCAGTTTGATTCCCCATCAGGGCACATGCCCAGGTTGTGGGCCCGATCCCCAGTGGGGGGCATGTAGGAGGTAGCCAATTGATGTTCTCTCTCATCAATGTTTCTATCTCTCCCCCTCTCCCTTCCTCTCTCTCTAACATCAATAAAGAAAAAAAATTGAATAAAACAGAAAACAAATACAGTCGGGTGTGATAATTGTGATGAAGATAGGATTGAGTCCGGCTAGTGTCACTCAGTGGATTGAATGCCGGGCATGCACTGAGAGGTTCTGGTTCGATTCCTGGTCAGGGCACATGCCCAGGTTGTGGGCCTGATTCCCAGTGGGGGGGGGGGGGGCACGCAGGAGGTGGCTGATGGATGTTTCTCTCTGACATAGATGTTTCCCGCTCTCCCTTCCTCTCTAAAAAAATCAATAAAAACATATTTAAAAAACAATATTTTTAAAATGACAAAGGGGCATTCAAACCCAAACACTCTGGCTCTAGAACTCTTAATACCACAAAATTTAGTTGAGGATGACTTATTGACCGAAAATTGTTTTGTACCCATTTAATGGAACAATTATTAATTTCAGCATTTTTTTTTGTTTTCACTTTAGATGTTTAATTTCTTACAACAATATTTTGGTTTTGAACTCCTTTTGTTAAATTTACTCCTAAGTTTTATTCTTTTTGATGCTATTGTAAATGAAAATGTTTTCTTAATTCCATTTCAGATTGTTTGCTGCTAGTGTATAAAAGTACAATTGATTTTTATATTTTGATCTTGTATTGTGAACCTTGTTGGACTATTAGCTCTAGATTTTTTTTTATGGATTTCTTATGATTTTCTAAAAACAAGTGTATTTGCCTACCAGGGCTGTCAAAACAAAAGACCACAGACTGAGCACTTTATTTTTTCTCTCTCTTTTTTTAATCCTTACCTGAGGATATTTTTTTATCCTTAGATAGAGTGGAAGGGAGAGACAGAGAGAAAGAGGGAGAGAGAGAGAAACATTGACATGAGAGGGACACATCAACTGGTGGCCTCCCGCACGACCTTACCAGGGCCAGGGACAAACTGCAACAGAGGTACGTGCCCTTGACGAGAATCAAACCCAAGACTCATTGGTCCGCGGGCCGACGATCTAACTAGAGCCAAATCAGCCAGGGCCAGACTGAGCACTTTAAGCAACATTTATTGTCTGACAATTCTAAAGGCTAGAGTCCAAAATCAAGGTGTCAGCAGGGTTTATTCCTTGAGATAGTGGTCTTCCTCCTATGCCTCTTTACACTGTCTTCCTTGTATGCATTATCTGTGTTCAAATTTTGTTTTTATAAAGACATCAGTCATATTGAAACAGGGTCCACCCTAATGACTTCACCTTAGCTTGATTACCTCTGTAATCAATATGATCAAGTAAGGTCCTATTGTGAGGTGCTAGGGATTCGTACTTCAGATTCATTTTTCTTTGTGTGACACAATGACCCAATTTTACCCATAACAAGATCATGCCATCTGCAAATAGAGATGGTTTTACTTCTTCCTTTCCAATCTGGGTTCCTTTTCTTTCTTTTTCTTGCCTAATCACCCTGGCTAGACCACCAGTACAATGTTAAATAGAAAAGGCTAGAGTGGACATCCTTATCTTATTCATCACCACCTTTTTCCATTTTTGTTTTTGGCAGACCACTGGGCATTATCTAAAATTATTGTGCTTGTTTGTTTACTTTTGCAAGAATGAATAAATGACTTCCTGCTACCCTCATCCTACTTCAGATCAGTTTCTTCTCTCACCCAGATTACTGTCTCATTCTATGACTGGCTTCTTCTTAGCCTCCACCACTCCACTGCTCACAGTGTGGCCAAAATGTTTTTTCTAAAACTCAAATCTAATTCAGCTCCATACTTACCACTTCTGTGACCTTCAACTCTCTTAAGCTGCTTCTTTATCTGTATTAACAGGGTGATAATAATGGTGCCTCCATCACAGGCTTGTTGAGACAAGTCATGTAAAACTTAGCACAATGCCTAGCACTCATTAAGTGCTTCATGGATGTCTGCTACTATTTCTCCTTTTAATAATAACATAACATTTACATTAATAGCTATTTCTATGTGCCCAATTCTGTTCTAAGTGCAGCAGGGGAAGTTTATGTGGTTTGCCCAAACTCATGCAGGTAGGCAGTGAATGGCACTGGTGGAAAATGAACCCGAGCCCTGGACTCTTAACCACCTATACTATCTCTTAAAATTGCATTGTCTAATTGTCCTCCTAAAACTCCTGTTGTACCCAGCTGGTGTGGCTTAGTGGTTGAGCGTGGACTCATGCACTAAGAGGTACCCAGTTCCATTCCCCAGGGCACATGCCCAGGTTGTGGGCCCATCCCCAGTGGGGGGGAGGGGGCATGCAGGAGGCGGCCAATGGATGTTCTCTCTCATCTGATGTTTCTAGCTCTCTCTCTTCCTCCCTCGCTCTCTAAAAATCAAGAAAGAAAACAAAACAAAACCAAAACATCCTGTTGCTTGGCAAAGACTTCAGCATGAAGACCAACCCTTCAGACTGCTCCTGGGATCTCCAGAAGTCGCCGTTCCAGCCCGCCCCCCTAGGGTTAGCTCTTGCCACCAGCCCCCTTCCTATGAGCTCCAGCGCTAGGGCCAATTTTTTTCCACTGCTCGGCCTCAAAGGTTTGCACCTTTTTACTTCCTTAGGGAGATACTCTCTCCTCCCCCTCGCCTGTTCCCACCGACCCTTCAGGAAACCTTTCTTGACGTCCTGTGACGGCCAAGTGTAAGGTTTTCTTCTGCGGTCCCCCGGCACCTGGTTATTTCCCTCATCAAAGCGCTGAGCACACTGCGTTGCTCACTCATCTGCCACTAATCTCTGACTGCGACTTCTTCGAGTTAGCGTTTAAGTAAGCAAATGTCCAACACGTACTACGGAGAGGATTAATCCGGACAATGGAACAAAACTGGAAATGGGGCATTGTCTCAATGATCCTTTCTTCGCTGTCTGCTCTTAATTAGGCTGGTAATGTTTTCAGTTGTTATCCCTCCCCCTCCCCCCCCCTTTCAATTCGCAAGTTTCTCGGCGTACCTAGGGAGCCGGCTCCTTCACAAAGGAAACCCGAAGGGAGCTACAAGCACAGGCGGCGAGAGCGCGGACCCATTAGGCAGACAAGATGGCAGCCGCCTCTCCGCGGCTGCGGGTGCCCACCCACTCAGGGCGGAGGGCTGCGTCACGTGACCCTCCCCTGCCTGGCACCGCCTCCGGCCGCAGTGCCTGACGGGAGACAGAGCAGCGAACGACGGCGTCGGCCATTTTGTGCCTGTTTCCTGTGGGACGCAGTGGTGGCCGTTGGGTCTGAAGAGTGAGCGATTTTTCGCCTCGTTTTCCCCGCTTCTTTTCTCCTCCCTTTTTACCTTGTCACTAGAGAGCAGTTATGGGTCGCAAGAAGAAGAAGCAGCTGAAGCCGTGGTGCTGGTATCCTTTGTCAGTTTGAGTCGCGGCCGAGCTCCGGTGCCGGTTGGTGGGGACTGGGAGGCCTGGCTTTGGCCTATGGCGGAGAGTGGGATCTGGGCCTCGTGGTGGGTAACTTGGTGGCTGGAGTCGGATTTGCGAAGTCTCCTAGGAAAATGGGGTCTCTGGGGCGAGAGGCTGTGGCCGTGGTGGGTCGTGGGACTCCGTGACTCAGGAGATTCTCGGTCTGGTGCGAGCATTGACTCGCTGGGAGGTGGCTTGGACCCCTCCATCGAGGACGGTGTCCCCTAGGACTATTCTGCCATACCCGTTGTGTTGGTGACTCAACAAAGGGACTTTCTTCAAGTGGAAGACTGACCACGGAGGATTAGGGAAGAGCTTCCGGAGCCAGCCAGTCACCCGCTTTTTCCGGGATTTTTTTTCGGGGGCGGCGGAGGAGGGGTAGAACCGGTGGTTTTGTAAAGGCTTTTGTTACTCAACCCGAATTTCAGACCTTTTTTTTTTAATTTGCGCGGGTGGGGTAAGATCCAGCTTCCACGTCTGCGACTGGCGCCTTCGTTTTTCGGGAAGCGTTCTCTCCAGGGTGGAGTTTCTAGTATCTATTCTCTAGCTGTGTGGGGCTAAAAAAAATGCCTCTTAGACTGAAAACAGTTTGCTACAGAACTGCGTTTTTTTTTGATATAATATCTAAACAGTTATGTATTTTGTAAATGTCCTTTTAGGAAAATCTTACTAGAGGGATATTTCTGTTTTATGGCTGCAACCCATCTCTGAGTTTAAATACATTGCTTGACAACGTAAATTCAGACGGGATTGCAAACAACTTTATGGGTTCAGTTGTGTCGTTCTTATGCACTATGAACTTATTCTTAGATTCTAAAGGGAACTTAAATTCTAAACGTTAGTTAAATGTTAATGTTTCGGTTATTTTTTATTTTTTGTCCTCACCCGAGGACATTTTTCCATATTTTGTTCAGATAGAGTGGGAGGGAGGGAGAGAGAAACATGACATGAAAGGGACACATCGAGTGGCTGCCACCTGCACGACCCAACCAGGGCCAGGGACAAACTGCAACCGAGGTACATGCCCTTAGCGGGAACCGAACCCGGGTCTCTCTGAACCACAGGCGGACGCTCTAACCGCTGAGCTAAACCGGCAGGGGCTATTTCTTTAAATCTATCTAATGAATGAATTCTATTTTGAAATTCTGTCTTGATATAAAGTTGGGGTTTTTTTGATATTGAACTCTTCTAATCCACAGTATGCATTTGTAAATGTTGAGATATGGAACAAAAGAATAGTTAATTTAACATAAATGTCTTAAACACGGGCATTTTTTAAAACCATTGTAATGTAAACTACCTTTTTGGTTTAGCTGCTCCCATATTTTAATGTTATGCCTATTCTCTTATATGACAGATTTTTTAAAAATAGGCTGTATCATTGTGTTTGTGTGCCTTAACAGTATTGCTCAGGTATTGTAATAGAGATTTTGATGATGAGAAGATTCTTATACAGCACCAAAAAGCAAAACATTTTAAATGCCATATATGTCATAAGAAATTGTACACAGGACCTGGCTTGGCTATACATTGCATGCAGGTAGGGGTTTTTCTCCTGTATTTAATTTTTACTCTCTTGTAGTTTGGAAACCGCGTTGGGGGGGGGGGGTCATTAATATTTCTTTGATAGTTGTAGGTTATTTTTATTGTTTATTGCAAGAGATCAGATAAAATGACAAGTCAGCATTAAACTAAACAAAAGCTGTTCTTTAGCCATCAAGAAGATAAACAATCAATTTTTTAATGTTTATAGAGTTTATATTGGTATTTATCTTTAAATTATTTTTCATTCTAAGTTAGATTGGTAACATTTAGGTTGAGATCACAAGATATATATCTCTTCAGCACTTGAGTTAGAGAGCAAGGATCAATGATTTAAATTTGTGGGCAGTCTGACCAGTTCTGATCCCATAAGAATTAGGACATAATTAGCTGCCATAACTCAACTACCATTGAAGGGTTTGTTATAGTCTGTTGCTTGGGGCCAGGTTTGTCAATAATTTATTCCAGGACCTCCTTTGGAGTGCTAACATTGTTTCATTGAATAATTTCTTGTTTTCTTGGATCCTTTTACTACTAGGTTGGGAGAGCTTTGTGATTTTTAAAGCTCTCATAAGTACCATTATGTCTTATTCAACATTATTTCTTCTACTTTTGCCAATTTTAGAGCTGCTTCAATTTTTGTATAATTGGACCTCAGATGTGAGATGAGCAAATCTCTATTGGAAACTACTGTTGGTAGGAAGCAGGGAGGTAAATTAAAATAAGATACTGCTTTCCCAAGTTTAAAATTAAGTTTATATAGCTCCTTGTCACTCCATTTATGTCACTACAACAATTAAACATCCATTCAAAAATATTTGAGAGCCTACTACATGCTTAAGCAGTCACTAAGGCACATGTTGCTATTCAAAAGAAAATTTAAATTCCTCAATCACGCTATAGCCACATTTTCAGTGCTTAATAGCCACATATAGCTGGTGAATGGCTGTTGTATTGGATAGCTCAAATACAGAACATTACCGTTTTCACAGAAAGTTCCTATGAAACAACACGAGTATACAGCAGTCAATAAAACAGTCACCATTGTAGAATTTAGATTTATATGGTGGAGGAAAACAACCTATAAATATTTCATTTGTCTTTTTTTTCTTTTTTATCCTCCCCCGAGGATATTTTTTTCCATTTTTTTGTTCAGATACAGTGGGAGGGAGGGGGAGAGAGAGAAAAACATCGACGTGAAAGGGACACATTGAGTGGCTGCCACCTGCATGACCAACCAGGGCCAGGGACAAACTGCAACTGAGGTACGTTCCCTTAGTGGGAACTGAACCCGGTTCTCTCTGGACTGCAGGCCGATGCTCTAACCACTGAGCAACCGGCCAGGGCTCATTTGTCTTGAAGTAATAATTGATATGGATAATTAAAACTAGGTAGGGGCTGTAAGGAGCACCAAGATATAGGAAAGGCCTGAATGAGAAACTGACGCCAGAGCACAAATCTGAAGGGAAATGAGGGTGATTCCAGCAAACTGCAAATGAAAGGCTCACTCACATCTGGAGCATTCTCCTATATTGAAGGAAAGGGAAAGGCTTGCAGGCTATTGTAGGCCATTTTCATTAGTTCTGAATCAAGTGAGAAGCTTGATTAGAGATATAACATACTCTGGCACACTTTTTAAAAATGTTTTTTATTGATTTCTTTAGAGAAAAAGGAAGGGAGAGAGAAACATTGGTTGCTTGACTTCTGTACACATCCTGACTGGGAATTGATCTGGCAACCTTTTGGTGCATGGGACAACACTGCCAACTGAGCCACACCAACCAGGGCTGGTACACTTTTTTAAAGGATCATTCTGGCTGCAAGGTTGAGAAGAGACTTGAGTATTTCAGGCAAAACATGATCCTGACACGAGCCAGAATTTGCCAATGGATTAGATTGGAGTATGGGAGAAAGTGAGGAGTTAAGGATGATCTGAAGCAGTGTGCAAAATGATGTTGCCCACCCGGCTGGTGTGGCTCAGTGGATTGACCCTCGTCCCACCTACTGCGAAGTCCTGGTTCAGTTCCCAGTCAGGATACATGACCGGGTTGCGGGCTCGATCCCCAGTAGGGGGAATGCAGGAGGCAGCTGATTGATGTTTCTCTCTCAAAAAAATAAAATGAAAAATAATGTTGCTCTATACTGAGCAGCTGCAGGAAGAATAGATTTAGGGATGAAGATACCAAGATTGTTATGTTAATTTTGAGTGTGAGTATGTTTTGAAAAGATCTGTTGAATATCCAGGTGGAGATAACACATAAGCAGTTGGATCTACAAGTTCATTTTGTGTGTGTGTGTTAATCCTTACCCAAGTATATTTTTCCATTGATTTTCAGATACAGTGGAAGGGAGGGGGAGAGAGATACAAACATCTGATGTGGGAGAGACACATCAATTGGTTGCTTCCTGCATAACCCCAACAGGGGCCTGGGATTGTATCTGCAACCCAGGTAGTGTCCTTGACTGGGAATCACAACTCTTCAGGCCCAGGCCCGATGCTCTTAACTGCTGAGCCAAACTGGCCAGGACTACAAGAGGTTGGAGGTAGAGATATAAATCGGGAAGGATACAATATAAGAACAGCTATTTGTCCCTGGCTGGTTTGACTCCGCAGTTGGAGCCTCAGCACACAGACAGAAGGGTCTCTGGTTCTATTCCCAGTCAAGGGCAAGTACCTGGGTTGCAGGTTCAGTCAGGTCAGAGTTATGCAGGAGACAACCAATTGATGTAGATGTTTCTCTCCTTTTCTCCCACTTCCCCCCTTCCACTCTATCTAAAAATCAATGGAAAAATATTCACAGGTGAAGATTAACCAAACGAAAGAATGGCCATTTGAAGCCATGTCTTTGTTTTCTCTTTAGGGAGTAGAATATAGATAGAAAAGATGTACAAGGACTCCATGTTGGGCCACTCCCAGCATTAGAAGTCAGAAATTTAAAAGAAATCTTTCAAGGAGATTGAAAAGGTAGGAACACCAAAAAAGTAGTATGCAGGAAACCAAATGGAGTGTTTTCAAAGAGTGAGTTAATTTAACTGAGTCAAATGCTGGTGGTAGGTCAAGTAAGAACAGAACTAAGATTGGATTAATCAAAGTGGAGGTCATTGGTCACTTTCCAATGGTGATTTCTTAGAATGATGAAGATGAAAGCTTGATTGGAGTGTTTTCGAGAGAGAATCAGGGCTGTTACTTGTGTCATTGAGAGTACACTTATTCTCACTGGGCCTGCCCCAGACCCCCTGAGCACCAACCTTAGTCTCCCTCAAAGCCCCATTTCCTCTCCACCAAGATGAAAGAAACTATCATGAACCATGAGAAACTCTCCAGACTGCAGAGGAACTGCCTCCAGAAAGAAGGTGGTTTACAGAACAGCTACAGAGGATGATAAAAAGAATTTGGTTCTCCTTAAAGAAGTTAGGGTATTGAAGAGGTAATGTGTTCACAAACGAAGGAACAGGCCAGCCTTAAAGTTCAGGTGTCTCTGGCAGGGAACACTTTTCACCATTACAGGCCGTGCTGAGACAATGTAGCTGACAGTTGCTACCCAGCATCTTAAACGAGCATGGTGCAGACAGTCTGACTAGTCTAAGGAGACTGGCTAAAGCTCTGCCCAATCTGTGGATGGGAAAGCACCACTTGCTACCAGAGAGGAGAATGAAGTTCTAGATCTGGAGAATTTTGATTAGGCTTCCAAGAAAAGCATACTGAATTGAGTCAACTTCTAAAGAAGATAAAACTTTTGGAGAAGTTACTGTGAAGCTGCTACTTTTATATTATGGCTGTTTTTTCAAATTTTATTTATGGATCTGATAAAATCTAGATCGCTAATGTTTTTTAAGCCCAAGTCCCTTGGATACTGCAGCTCTTTTCAGTTTTTGCTTATACACAAATTGTTCTTTGCTTAGTTTTAAAAAAGAATGGTGGGGCCCGGGCTGGTTTGGCTCAGCGGTTAGAGCGTTGGCCTGCGGTCTGGAGAGACCTGGGTTCGGTTCCCGCTAAGGGCACGTACCTTGGTTGCAGTTTGCCCCCGGCCCTGGTTGGGTCGTGTGGGTGGCGACCACTCAATGTGTCCCTTTCACATTGATGTTTCTCTCTCTCTCTCTCTCTCTCTCTCCCTCCCACTCTATCTGAACAAAATGTCGAAGAATGTCCTCGGGTGAGGATAAAAAAAAAAAAAAAAAAGAATGGTGGGGAGAAAATGGGAAAGTAGAGGCACTCTTTCAAGGAGTTGTACTATAGAGAAGAGCAGATGGAGTGGAAGCTGGAAGGAGATTAGTTGAGAAACTATTAGTAACATCTTTAATTGACTAAGTGTTTCTGTATATATAGTCTTACTGTAATTTCAGAGCAACCTGTGAGATGAGCATATAAGTTAAATTGGATATCCTCCAATTTTATAGATGATAAACTAGGATGTTAGTAATTTAGATGGCTTACATCACCCTTGCTCTTATCTTTTCAACCAAGACCATACTGACTTATTCTAGGCAAGATTCTGAGTTAATCATGTTATTTTACTCCTCTTTCCAACACTTTTTAATTAATATATTTATTCTTGCCCTTATCACTTAGAAATGTAGTGAAGACTAGTTAATGTGTATGTGAACATAATTTATTTCTCTAAAGAACATCCGTTACTTTGTCTGCATTTATCAAGAAGAGTAACACATTCCCACAAACTAAGAAAATGGTGGTTAAGTCTCTTGTTACATAACTTTATTCACCGATTGTTCATAATGAACAGTTCAAGAGTAATCAGAAGTGAAGGTAATTTCTGAATTTGATTTGCTTGCCACTGTTTGAAACCTTTGAGATACATCTCTAAGAAGAAAACATTTAGCTTTCGTTAATTACCTTTCTGTTCTTAACATGAAAGTGTCTTGGGAGGAAAGAAAAACTGAGTATTACTTGGACAAATATGTTCGGGTTATTAGCTTAAATCATTGGTTCTCAAGCCTGAGCATACATCCAGATCACTAGGAGGGCTTGTTGAAACACAGATTGCTGGCCCCACCCAAGAGTTTGTAATTCAGTAGGGCTCAGGTAGGGCCTGAGAACTTGCATTTCTATTAAGCTTCCAGATGATGCTGATAGGCTAAGCAAAATACTTTGACATCCTAAGATAATGCCTTTTGCTGAAGAAACCAGGACTGACAGGGATTTTACCATACTGGCAAAAAGCTATCCACATTTTGAGGGGGGGCTAGAAACTTCTGATCTGTCAAAAACTATACAGTGAAAAAAGTCCTAGAATCCTAGTGTTCTACAATAAACATTTATTTTCCTCTTTGTGACCTGCCAAATCAGGTGCATAGTGACAGACTCACTACTGGCAGTGTTAAGTGCCTCAGGTGACTCGTTAGTTATATGTAATGCTAATCGTAGTTTGTGACTACAGGCTTATCTCAAGATCCAGTTTTGGAAAATTTACTTGTTTTAATTCTCAATATCATAAGACTTTCATAAGCTTTACTTAATTCAGACTTGAAATTTCTCTGACTTGAGTAGTTTAAATTATCAGATTGAATTGCTGATAATGCAAGCAAATAAGGTTATATGGTAAATTTGAAATAATGTTTATTGAGCCCTTAATATATGTTAGACTTCCTATCAAGTGCTTTTGATATACACTATATTTAATCCTAAAAACCAACCCTTGAAATTAGGCACTATAATGGTGGAGTAATCGAAGTTTAGAGAGGTCAAATGATTTGCACAATCTTACATGGCTAGTAAGCAGCAAAATTAGAGATTGAATTCAGATCGTCTCACTATAGAACTAGTCGCTCTTAACCTTCATACTAAATGGTCTCTGAGTAATTTGAAATTACTTCGTAAAAGACTTATGAGACACTTTTGCCTATCTGATGGAAGTTTTTGGGTTTTTTTGTTTTTTGTTTTTTTGTTAGGTGCATAAAGAGACAATAGATGCTGTACCAAATGCAATACCTGGGCGAACAGACATAGAGTTGGAAATATATGGTATGGAAGGTATTCCAGAAAAAGATATGGATGAAAGAAGACGGCTTCTTGAACAGAAAACACAAGGTAAGTATTTAACATATGCCTTTTCTTAATAGAGCTTCACTAGTGAGGATTATTACTTTCAAGTATAAATTTAAATGTTAGATTTATTCAGAATTCAAATTTTGTCTTCTGTTTTCTTTGTCTTATGTTTGAAGTTGTGTATTGATTTGTATATATGTAATACCATTTGGATCATTCAGATATTTATTATTCATGGCTGAATTCCAAGTGGAATTAACAAGTGTTGAGGCCTTTGAAAATAAAGTAGCTTGTGTTTTGTTTTTCATTGATTTTATTTTATTAAAATTTTTTTTTCTTACTGATTTTAGAGAGAGAGGCAGGGAGAGGGAGAGAGAGAAACATCAATGAGAGAGAACATCGATTGGCTGCCTCCTGCATGCCCCCCCACTGAGGATTGGGCCTACAACCTGGGCATGTGCCCTGACTGGAAATCAAGCTGGCCACCTCTTGGTGCATGGGTTGATGCTCAACCACTGAGGCACACCAGCCTGGCTGTTTTTGTTTTTATCCTCACCCGAGGACATTTTTGCATTTATCTTCAGATAGAGAGGGAGGAACAAAGTGAGAGAAACATTGATGTGAGAGAGACACATTGAGTGGCTGCCACCCACACGACCCCAACAGGGGCTGGGGACAAACTGCAACCTATATACGTACCCTTAGTAGGAACTGAATCCAGGACTCTCTGGTCCGTGGGCCAATGCTCGAACCACTGAGCCAAACTGGCCAGGGCTAGAAAGCTGTTTTTTTAAAATAAAACTGAATCTGGCCAGTGTGGCTCAGTGGATTGAGCCTTGTCCCATGGACTGGTCTCAGTTCAGTTCCTGGTCAGGGCACATGCCCCAGTTGTGGGCTGGATCCCCAGTAGGGGGCGTGCAGGAGGCAGCTGATGGATGTTTTTCCCTTCCTCTCTGAAAAAAAAATCAATAAAAACATATTAAAAAAATAAAATAAAGCTGACTTAGAAATATTTTACTTTTCATAGAAGAATAATTGCTTAATATAGGTTGAAAATGCATTTGAAGAGTAAAGAAGAATGTTAACTGAAATATTTTTTGGAAGCAGAATTTTATGAGTTAATTGCAATGAAATAATTTTTTTAAATGTTGAATGTCTTAAATTTGCTTTTTATTTCACTCTGTGGGAAAATTAATTAAAACGTTTTTTAACAGAGAGTCAGAAAAAGAAGCAACAAGATGATTCTGATGAATATGATGATGATGACTCTGCAGCTTCAACTTCATTTCAGCCACAGCCTGTTCAACCCCAACAAGGTTATATCCCCCCAATGGCACAGCCAGGACTACCACCAGTTCCGGGAGCACCGGGAATGCCTCCAGGTAGCATTTAGAGTTTCTTACAATTTAATATTCTTAGGGCTTTATTGATAGTGTTAGAAGTACTAAAGTTTTTCTCCTAACACTTGAATATTAATTTGTGATTTTTTGTTGTTGAAATTGTTTATAGGTATACCTCCATTAATGCCAGGTGTTCCTCCTCTGATGCCAGGAATGCCACCAGTTATGCCAGGCATGCCACCTGGGTAAGAAAACTCTTTTTAAATGGCTTATCAGCTTGGGTGAATTAAATATGACTTTGCATTTTTTTTGCTTCTAAAAGGTATGGGTTCTATAAATATTAAAATTGTCTAATAAAGGGGTCTGCCAATAAATTTAAGGAATATAAATTTCTCTCTGAAGAGAGTAGATTTTTGGGTTTTAGTATGTATGTAGGCAGCCATCTGCTTCAATTGCATCTGATGTAATTAAAGTAGTTGGTTGTAGATTTGAGCTTCTGAGAGTCTGAACTGTCCATGACACTTTATAGTTGTGACAAGAAGCAAATTCTGTAAATGATTTAAATATTTATCAAATCATCAAGAACTGAAATAAATATGAGGTGCTCGTGCCCATCACTTTACTTAAATGTTATTGGATGTGACAGGTAAACAAAACACTTTCCCACTGTATTTTGAAAATCACAGTTAGATTTTGATTTTGTCATACATTTTCACAGATTGCATCATCAGAGAAAATACACCCAGTCATTTTGCGGTGAAAACATGTAAGCATCTCATTCATGATGTAATTCAGGAGGTATAATCATAATGTCATTTTCTTGTGTGTTTAATGGGATCTATTCAGTTGACTTCAGAAATTTTCTAACCTTCCTCACTAAAACTTCTACAACTTACAAGCTGGTTGACACAGGTCTCTAAAAGGAGGGAAATAAAACATCTTTGAGGAAATAGTAATAAATCCATATATAAATAAAGCATTTTCTAAATGTGTAGCTACTATTTTCTCCTAATGGCTAAAAGTAATGGGACTTTGTAAAAAGGTTTGGTATTTAAGAAAAACTATATAATCTTACCAAATTGTATGCTTTATTATATAGAAGGTAATTGAATTTTTCCTAATAAAATCAATATATAGAAGTTAATCTTCTGATAAAAGTCCTAAATCAAGAATTTACAAACTTGTAATTTCTTAAGTGCATTGGACATTGCTATTTGAAGATGAGCTCCTTTAGGGGAAGGAAAAAATATGGGTTGTTTTTTTAACTCATGGTTTAGTATTAGCTAATGTAAGTAAAAATGAGGCAATCTGAATTTACTTTTGATTATCTTTAATATTGATGGTAGTTTTTCTGTGCCCCTCCGAAAATACCATATCTTCCTAATGTACATTCGGTATTTTCCTTCTGAAAATCTGACAACTTTAGATTTTTATTTATGTTCTGTGTGGCTATTTTTCCAGTGAATCAGAAGGTGATTTTGATTCTCAATTGCACATATTTTAGATTAGGCCTCTTGTGTATATCAAGAGTACAATATTAGCCTGTAATATTAATACATGACTTTAAATGTATTAAAATGTTTTGTCAACAAAGCCTGGATTTTTCTCCCTCCATCTTACTGGTAAACCCAAGAGTTTGCTGGTTTTTAGAGGATTTATTTTGATAGGATTGTTTTAGTGTGTTTTGTGTTCTGTCAGCTTGATTCAGTATTGGGGGTCAAATTCCAGTCTTATCTATTGTTTCAGGATTTAGCCAAAATATTTTCTGTGGCTTATATTAGTAATTAACTTCAGTTGTTTCTTGAAATTTGCTTTCTAATAGAATGATGCCAATGGGTGGAATGATGCCACCTGGACCAGGAATACCACCTCTGATGCCTGGTATGCCACCAGGTATGAAATATTATGCAGTTTCCTTTTTAATATGACTGACATGCTTTATTCTTTTAAGTATTCTACACAATAGATTTGTGGGCACAGGCGCAATGTAGTTTTAAAATCCCTGTAGGTTGGTGACTTTTTAAAATTACTGTGAGAAGTGTTATGATGGACCCCTTTTTATGAGTTTTAAAATAGTAAAAGTAGTCTTCAAGCCCAGGCCGGTTTGGCTCAGGGTTTAGAGTATCTGCCCATGGACCGAAGAGTCTTGGGTTTGATTTTGGTTAGGAATGTGTACCTGGGTACCAATCGATGTGCCTCTCTTATGTCAGCCCCACCCCACCCCCCGCCACAGCCGCCGCCTCTCTGAAAATCAATGGGAAAATATCCTCAGGTGAGGATTTTTTAAAAAAAGTCTTGCCCTGGCCGGTTTTACTCAGTGGTTAGAGCATTCACCTGTGGACCAGAGTCCTGGGTTTGGTTCCCGCTAGGGGGCACGTACCTCGGTTGCAGTTTGTCCCCGGCCCCAGTTGGGGTCGTGTGGGTGGCAACCAGTCGATGTGTCTCTCTCACATCAATGTTTCTCTCACTTTCTTCCTCTCTCTTTCCTGCTCTATCTAAAGATAAATGCAAAAAAAATGTCCTCAGGTGAGGATAAAAAAGTCTTTAAAACAGTCAAAGTGAGTCACAGAGTCTTTGCAAGAAGGTCATATGCTTAAGAGTGGGTCATATTAGGAGTATTTTAGATAAGCAATAAGAGACTTTTAGCAAGTAATAGACAACTTAAACAATGTTGGACATTTATTATCTCAAGAAGAGAAGTGGTAGATTGTGTGGCTTGGTGATGATAATCAAGAACCTGTGCTTTAATATTTTCCATTTTGTTAACCTTAACTTTTCTCCCTCAAGCATGTCACTCAGTAATAACAAGATGACTCAGGCAAGAAAGGTTGTTAATAACAATGTGCTCTCCTTTTTTTCTTTTGTTAAGGAACAAAGTAACTTTTCCAGGGGCTCTTCAGCCCCTTGTATGTCTTGGCTAGGAATAGGTCTAATGGACCCTCTAGTTGCAAGGAAACGTGGGAAATGAAGTATCTTGATTGTTTTAGATTATAATGTGGGGTGGGTAGTGGGTTGTGTTAGCTAAATAAGTGTGCCACAGAGTGCTTTAAGAGGCTCCCAGTTGGTTGCCTTGCTTTTTTAGACTTAATCCTAGCAAGTTTGTGTTATAATTCATAGCAGGCTTAGAAGTACTCAAGTGATAGTTGATATAAAAGGAACCAGAAGCTCAACCAGTGTGGTTTAGTGGATTGAGATGTCCTGGTTCGATTCCCGGTCAGGGTACATGCTTGGATTTTGGGCTCGATCCCCAGTAGGGGGCATGCAGGGAGCAGCCGATGGATGTTTTCTCACATCCACATTTCTATTCCTTCCTCTCTCTCTAGAAAAAGCAATTAAAAAAATTTTTTTAAAAAGAAAACTGGAAAATAAAGCGGCAAAATTGTAATCATTGCTAGTGTAGCAATTTATAGGTAACAGCTCCACATACATAATGCTGTAGGGGAAATTTTGGACATTTGAAATGGTAAGGAACAATAACCATTGTTCATTTTATGGTGTGCAGTAAATGTTTTAAGTTGTATTGAGGAAGTTTAAAGAATGCACTAGTGCTACATGTTAGGAAATTGTATTTAAAGTGTGTAAAAGAGCCCTTGCTGGTTTGGCTCAGCAATTAGAGAGTCAGACTGAGGACCGTGGAGTCCCGTATTTGATTCCAGTCAAGGGCACGGACCTCGGTTGCGGTTTGGTCCCCTGCCCTGGTCCGGGTCATGTGGGAGACAGCCAATCGATGTGTCTCTCTCATATCAATGTTTCTCCCTCTTCCCCCACTCTGTCTTAAGATAAATGGAAAAATATCTTTGGATGAGGATTTAAAAACAAAGTATGTAAAGGAATAATTGGGTTTTCTGCAAAATTTAGGGGTGTGTGACTTACTACCTTTTTACTGTAATTTGCATCAGCATTCATTGAACTCTAATTCTCTCTGTATATTAAAGGGTTTGCTAAATAATTAATATCAGTTAAACTTAATTGCTGCTTTGCAATTACAGGGTCTTTAATGGTATCTTTCACTTCCCAAAATTCTGAAGGAGACACAAAGGAATAGAAAATTTGAGGCGGCAATATTGTTTCAAGGGAAAAATGCCCAAGTTCTTTGAATTTCATTGAGTTTAGAAGTCAGTTAGTAACTTTGTAGTATGGAAGCATTTTTTTTCCCTTTATTGATTTTAGAGAGAGGGGAAGGAAGAGGGAGAGATAGAAACATTGATGAGAAAGAACATCCATTGGCTGCCTCCTGCATGTGACCTGACCGGGAATCGAACTGGCGTCCTCTTGGTGCATAGGTCGACACCAACCACTGAGCCACACCAGCTGAGTTGGAAGCATTTTTAATATGGTGTATTGTAACAGCAAAGTTTTGGGGAAATTACTTTTCTGAACTAAATGCTTCAACAACTGGGTCCCCCTCCCGACATTTTTTCTTTATAGGTATGCCCCCTCCGGTTCCACGTCCTGGAATTCCTCCAATGACTCAAGCACAGGCTGTTTCAGCACCAGGTATTCTTAATAGACCACCTGCACCAACAGCAGCAGTTCCTGCTCCACAGCCTCCAGTTACTAAGCCTCTTTTCCCGAGTGCTGGACAGGTAAGTTGAAATTCACTTTACAGGTAAATTGCAGTTGTTTACAGAACTCTTTGAAATTGTCATAGGTCATTTTTTTTTTTTATGATTTTAGTATAATTAAGCATAGTACAAAGTGGCCTATTTACTTCCATGTTTGCATACATTGATTTTGTCTATTTGTAAAAGGTTGACTGGAGCCAGAGATAGCATAATAATGTTATTTTTTCATTGCTGTAAATTTCTAACTTTAGTTAGAAATGGAAGTTTAATTTCTGGGGACTTAAATGTGTTTTAGGTTCCACTGTTGAGCTATGAGTGGAATGAAAGCAAAGCCAAAGATGAAAATCCTAAGATCTTAGCAAATCATTTGTTGGGCTCTTGTAGTCTAGAACAGTGACAAACTGCAAAACTGCACACTTGCTGGAAGGGTATCATTTAATTGCTTTTGACTTAGTCCTACTGATTTTGTCTCCAAAACTCGGAAGTGAAAGGTGCTTCTGTTATACATAGTATGTCTATAATGATTAGTACTTTTTATTATTTCATAGGTTTTTTTTTCTCAAATTTTTTCTGTTTGTAGATGCTAAATTAAAAGCATTACTTTTTAAGTGCTCTTGAAACACATTAACTTATGCTTTTGAGGTGGGTGGGGATTTTGTTCATTGAGAGATGTTAAACTTAGCAAAAATCTTTTATAGTGTCATTGATAGAGAATTGGATTAAAGTGTCATTAATCTTTATTCTCAGTTTAAGGTATCACTTTTGAAATATCACATTGCAAAACATTAGTTTTAGAAAAGAAACCGGTTAACTAGGTTTATTGGTGTAGAATTAAAACTTCTTTTTGAGGCTTATACTGTCACTTTGTTTATTGTAAATGCATTAACTGCCTGCCTCATTAAATAAAGCAGATCTGATTGCATTATATTTTGCATTCACAAATATGCAATCTATACTTAAAAAAAAGTCTACCACATGGCTTATTTTCACCCATTTGTTTGGAGACTTTTCATTGTTTCCTTTCTTTTATGCTACAGATGGGGACACCTGTAACAAGCTCAAGTACAGCTTCATCCAATTCAGAAAGTCTGTCTGCATCTTCTAAAGCTCTGTTTCCTAGCACAGCACAAGTACGCAGGAAGTTGCAGTTTAAAGTTGTTAAAATGGCTTTATAACTTAACCCTTTGGACCCTACTTTAAAACTAAATCTTTTCCCAAAAAATACACAATTTAAATTTTTTTTAAAGTAAGATTAATGGTATAAATCAATGGTATATGAAAAATTGAACTAAAAAAAATGTACCCCAAACTTCAATGGTTCTAAAGGGTTAAAAGCATGTAAGCAGCAAATGCCTTGTAGTAGCCAATGGTTAGCCTGATGCATGATTAAGCTATTTTGACTTATGCTATTTAATCTAATGCATCACATATCATGTAAGGAAATTTAGTACTCTGCATTTGGTTCTAAAGTTGTCCTAGTCTACGTGTTTTAGATGTTTGGTATTACAAAAAGTAGCACATTAATTACTGGTAATTTTATACTTAAAGAATCCTTCTAAACCCATTTGATCATGATAATCATCCAGCCATTATTAATTGGGAGGGCATTGTATTACTATATAAGTAATACCTCTGAAGGACATTTTTAATGTGTCACCATTGATACTAATTATGCTATGCTTAGTAACTGAAACATTTGTATTCTGTAATTTCTAATTTTTTTTTTTAGTTGCTTGGTAGATTAAACAACTAATTAAGAATAGTAAAAATAGAACATACACCGTTTCAGTATATACTACTATATTTCTTCAGTCTGGAATAAATACAAAGCTTTGTAAATTAAAGAACTTGATGAGAAGGTAGATGACATCTGAGAAGTTAAATATGCAGCCTTACCTTTTTGTTGTTTCAATGCTGTGTTTTAGATGTGACTGTAACCCAGCATTTTCTGATATTCTTATGTGTTATCTTGAATTTTGTGGAGCATTTATCATGTTAACTTTGTTTTGATTTTATGTTGAGTTTGGTCCTTTATTGAATGTTGGTGTCTTATTTTTAGTTGGTAGGTACACTCAGTTTTCTGTTTCATTGATGAAAGATTGTGTTTTACAGGCTCAGGCAGCTGTCCAAGGACCTGTTGGTACAGATTTCAAACCCTTAAATAGTACCCCTGCAACAACTACAGAACCCCCGAAGCCTACATTCCCTGCTTATACACAGTCTACAGCTTCAACCACTAGTACAACAAATAGCACTGCAGCTAAACCAGCGGCTTCAATAACAAGTAAGCCTGCTACTCTTACGACAACCAGTGCAACCAGTAAGTTGATCCATCCAGATGAGGATATATCGCTGGTAAGTTGTTTATAGTTTTTTACTTGCAGGGTTTGATTGAATATCATTGTAGCAGCTTGTCCCTTTGAAAAGTTAATTTGTACATCAATGGTCTTATGACTAATCTGATTTCATGCTTACTAAGTGGTTTTTACCATTCTGATTTTTAAGAACCACAAAATAAAGTGAATAGTATGTGTTTGATCTTAGATGCATTCCCTCCCACCAGACTATTTCTAAAAGAAGACAGTAAGTTGGATTCTTACTCTTAAAAATCATTTTAGTTAGACATATTTGTAAATTAATTGAAGAAGCAGTGAAGTGTGAAGTGGAATCTGCAAATCCCTTGAAGCCCATATGTCTTCTTCACTAGACACTTTCTTGCTGAAGCAGTTTATAAACCCTAAAGTTGTTTTCTGTGCTTCGAATACAAAAATAGGTGGGATTTTCTTAAGGAATTGAGATTTTAAGTAGTTGGACTGGTTTGTGGGGCAAAGGTAAAATTGGGAAGTAAGGATACATTTTTTGAAACTTAAGCTATAAAGATGATTAGATGCTTGCCTTTATGCTTAATGAGTCTCTGTAGTCAGGTGTTTAACATTGTGCTTATTTTTATTTCTAGGAAGAGAGAAGGGCACAGTTACCTAAATATCAACGTAATCTTCCTCGTCCAGGACAGGCTCCCATTGGTAATCCACCAGTTGGACCAATTGGAGGTATGATGCCTCCACAACCAGGCATCCCACAGCAACAAGGAATGAGACCCCCAATGCCGCCTCATGGTATTTCTCTTTTTATGTTTATTGTTTTTAGTGGCTTTTTTGAGTATACACATAGAATAATTTATCTACAGAATACATTCCATTTAAAGATACAATGCATGAACCAACTCAGTCTGTTTCTTGTGTTTTAAATGTGTTTTTTAGGTCAGTATGGTGGTCATCATCAAGGCATGCCAGGTTACCTTCCTGGTGCTATGCCACCATATGGGCAGGGACCGCCAATGGTGCCCCCTTACCAAGGTGGGCCTCCTCGACCTCCGATGGGAATGAGACCTCCTGTAATGTCGCAAGGTGGCCGTTACTGATCTCACTTCATCCAGTCTAATAGGTTTGGAGATTAAACCTTTTCTCAACTTGTGCTGTTTATATAGCCAAGCTTCCGTCAATAAGGCTTCATTGTGACTTTAACATTATCTTCCCACATACCAGGAACAATTGGACGTTTATTTTACATGGGAAAAATTATTTGGAATAATAAAGCAGGAACTTTTCCTGAAGTTGCAATTTATACTGTATGGCTTCTTTTTCATGTTTCATCTAGGTTTTTAGAAGTGAAGTATAGTAAATTTGGTTCGTTATATTGTGAAGGCGCTGGAATTTCATGAACATACCACCTTAATAAAGGCAAGTTCTGTAAGCTTACATTGCTATTTGTAAAGTTATGCCTTCACAGCATTTCAGATGCTGTTGGACTGCATGTCCCCAACCTAGCTTGGTGAGGGCTGTAACTATTTCCAAGTACCTGTACATTGGAAGTCTGAAAGTGTAACAATATTTAATGTATTTAGAGTTCCTCATGTTGCAGGGTCTACGAAATCTGACCCACTAAGGTCATGTGACTTTTCTGTACTGTTAAACTTCATTGTAATAAAATGAGAGAAAAATTTATGCCTTTTTATTCATAACCCAGCTGTGGACCACTGCCTGGAAGGTTTGTACAGATGCATGCCACATTAGATGTCCACATAATAAAATTCATAGTTGCCAATGCAGTTTTGATATATCATTGGATTCTGTCTTTGAATTTAGGTTGTTTCTTAGCTGCATGTTTTAAACTGAACAGTGTATATAGAATTGTATGTTAGTGCTTCAGTTAACAGAAGACCTTAGATATGTATGAGTCATTGCATAATGGGTATGAAATCTTTATGTTGTGTCACCTTTTTATCCCCTTGGTGTCAATACTTGTTAGATGTCATAGATATTTAAAGTATAATCCTTAATGTTTCCTCCTTCCTGATGATTATATTTAGAGCCTAGTGCCAGACCATTCATTTCCTTCTAATTGTTTTTGGGACTGCAGTACTGCATGGACCTCAGAAGCTTTTCAGGTGCAAAATTCTAGAAGCTTAGCTGTAAGCAGTAATTACTCTTTGTGCTGTTAATGAATTGGTGTGTGTGTATATATATATATATTTTTTTTTTATCCTCACTGGAGGACTTTTTTCCATTCTTTATTCAGACAGAGTGGGAGGGAGAGAGGAGAGGAAGAGAGAGAGAGAGAGAAAAACAGAAACATTGGCGTGAAAGGGACACATTGAGTGGCTGCCACCCGCACGACCAAGCAGGGCTGGGGACAAACTGACCGAGGCACATGCCCCTAGTGGGAACCGAACCTGGATCTCTCTGGACCGCAGGTCGGCGCTCTAACCACTGACCAAACCGGCCAGGGCTGAATTGGTATATATTCTAAGTGCAGTGCCGAGAATCTAAATGTGCCTCTGTTGAATGGTTAACAGATGGATTTGAAATTTTTTATTATATTCTTGGAAAATGACATATCTTTGATTAGATAGCTACCTTCTATTATTAAGCCTAAATGGCTTAATAAATGGCTTTACTGTTAACTTTTTCATCCTTGGAAATTTAATCATTACTGTGTTCCTATGGAGAACTTTTCTGTAGAGGTGACTGCTGTTATTTAATATTTTGTGTTGTAAGTCCCATGTAATAATAGTTCCTTTTGACCTTTTTGCTATCCAGTTTTTTAATCTTTTTCAGGGTAGATTTATGCTTAAATTAAGTATCAAATGACCTGTACAGAGTATACTTATTAATATAATAACCTGAAGTTGAGGTTTTTCTCAATATAAAGTTAAGACTTCTTAGAAAATGGTACCTTTTTTTTTTAACCTTTATGCGAAGACATAGATATAAGACATGAAATCTGAAGTTTTTTAAAAGCATTAACCTTGCAGAAAAATACTGGGAAATATTTTAATCATCATAGAAGAGTCTATGTATTTAAGTGACAAGTAAAAGTTATTTAAACAAAACACTGCAAGTATTATGGAGCTGAGGGCTATTTTAAATTGGACATTTTGCTCCAGTGGTTTTATAGCTCCTGTGCTGTGGTACCATTGAGGTTCAGAAAATTTCATAGTCTGAAAAGGTAACATCCATGTATCACCAAGAATACACTTCATCTTTGTTCTAGCAGCCAAGCTTCATCTACGCCTACCCCCATCCCCAACATCTGCCTACTGAAATAGTTTTAGAATTTGGTAGCACATTTGTACTGCCAAAGAAAAACGTGTGTTGAAAATCTTGGAGGTAAAAATATCATGACGTTTCAAAAATTATGCAAAATTTGATTTGCATTTAATGCAAAGAGAACATTTTATGTCAATATTGCTTTTTGAGGTCTGAAGGGAGAAAGTATTACTACTTTTAAGTAAGTGGTATGATTCTCATTAAAAGTCAATCCAAAGTGTTAATCATGGCACTTTAAAATCTTAAACACACCATCTCTTTCTTGTGTCCTGTAGGTAGATGGCTCAGGTGGTGCTCATTTGATATATTCAAAAGTGTAATTTGTGCATGCATCAAAGCATAATTAAGCTTCTAGAAAATACCTTTTACCTAACTGCTTCTGGGGTCCATACTGTGTTTAAATCATGAGTGGAACAAATTACGTTGAAATAATGAACTTTTGACACATGCTTTCTTAAATAATAGAGTTAAATCAAAGTAAAATTCATCCACCCTCACAGAAGACAACTTTTAGGACTTGATATTTTCAGGCAGGCATGATTGCCATAATTTAGGAAATTGCAATATTAATGGGGCTTCCAACTTTGGCTTCACTCTTAAATCACCTTTAAAAAAAATGACTTAAACATTTGTCTGGCACTAGTTTCTATTATATAGATTTTACTACTGTATGACAGTAACAAGACCAGCAGGCGAGGAACAACTTTTGAGTGGCTGCTGGAATTATCATTTGATTTGAATACTTACTATTTCAGTAATGTTTTACACATTTATTATTAGGAATGGGGAAGATGCGTGTGCTTCTATTCCACTGATGCAATTACATATTGAATTTAAACTCAGCTTAATTAAATAGGTATTTAGGGGGAGATCCCAATAAAAATAACTGTGGTCTCAGTAGAATTATAGTGGACAATCGTTTTTTTGTTTTTTGTTTTTTTAAGAGCTACTTTTTTTTCCTTTGCTTGCTTGATCATTGGGATTTTTTAAAAATGCATGTCTTTTAAATTAATTGGGTAATGTTTTTCTAAAATTAAAATTTTCTTCTTCCTATAGCCCTGCCATAGGACAGGCTGAGGCTGAGTCTCAGTGTTGCCCTGTTCAGTCTGAGGCAAGTGGGATTTATTTTATTCCTTATAGGGGCTTTCACAGCTTGATGGCTGTTGGATATTTATGTCCCCAAACTTGCAGCAAGTTTGGTGAAGGCCCCTAAATTTAATTAAACGTAGGATTTTTATACTCTTTTGGCAGAGAAGGCTCTATATTAATATTCACGTTTGACTGTGGTGTTAATAAACATTAAGAAGTATTTGATATATGTAATTTACTTGGTGTTATGTAATAAACAGCCTCAGTAAAGCTGGTATTGCTATATTACAGTTTAGTAAATTGACAAAATTTGACATTTTTGATTTGGAGGCATGAGATGTTTCGATCAAATTTTTTACTTTCTACTTTTAGGAAAATCTTATACTTGTTATTTTCTCTTCATACTATTAAATTTAACCTCAAGGATAAGTTTAATTATTGGAAATGCTACCGGATACTGAAATATGCACTCTTAATCCCAAAGTTATGCATTGAACATTAAGGTTGAAAGGTCATCTGAAAATGCTTATGCTTTTTAATATTTTTCAAACCTCACCACATTAGAGCAAATGTTAATGTAGAGCCCTGTGAAAAGTGGGAAGGTGGTATGTGTGTGGTATGTATGCATATACACTACACATTTGAGATAATGAGTTTTGGTATTACAAACCTGTCAGTATGGATAGGTTCAGGTAGCCAAACGAAAATTGTATCATGGGGTCAAGTTAGTATATTCAACTATGGTTTTGGAACTATTACTTTGAGGTTCATTTTCAGCCTTACTGAACAATATTTTATACACTCTGCATACATGAGACGTATCCACATTTGTTTCCAACTAAAGTTTGCTTTTATTTGTTGAGAAAAGATGTGTTTATGCTTTTATGTTGTAGGGGGTAAAGAGGGATCTGGAAGAGAGAGGCCCAAACGTAAACCTGGATTTTGTTCCTTCCTGTGTTTGAGTCACCATTCTATCCAGATAGTATTTTTCTTGTGAACAGTAACGATTAACATACAGTGCAACGTTTAGCAAACCTGGGATTGTATTTCTATGTGGTTCTAATAGTTGGAAGCATAAAGAAAAAATACGCATTAAATGAATTCCAAATTTTCACCTGCTTAATTAACTTTCATATGCTTTTCTCTGCAACTGAATCATGGGAAAAGAGATTTTAATATTTGAAAAAAGAATTTTGTCACACGATTATTTTATTGGTATATTTTATAACCTCAATGATTACCCCTTTTAAGACTCCTTATTTGGAGTTGTTTTCTGTTGCACCACCATCCCCCAGTATACTAAAATATTCAGGAGTGAAGCTGCTTGTTCTGATAGTCATAATTGAAATAATAATAACTGAAATAGGCTCTTATATACTTGTATGAGAGGTGGGATTTTCTAAGGGTGGCATAATTTGTTGAAGATGACACAAATATCTAAGATCTAGTTTCTTTGATATATCTAGTTCTGTGATTCAGACAAATACGATTTTAAGAATTACATACCTTTCAGGTGTCTATTATGTCCACTGGTGAAACTTGGTAAATAAAAGGAAATATTGAAGATGACCCCTTTACTGAGATAAAAATATACACTTGTATTGGTTAGGGGATTTTTAAAAATTCCACATGTACCCTAAAATTTTGTATAAATCAGGCATGGCTTTTTAAAAAGGTAGTATTTACCTACCTAATACTGAATAACCTTTGTATGTTATTCCAAAATGAAACTGGTTTTCTCTCACTGTAACTAAGTCTTCTAAAATGAGGGAGTGGTTCAGTTCCAAGATTATTGACTATAAAGCAGATTTTTGTAAGTAAACGTTCCCCTTATTATATTTCTGCTTGCTATCTCATGGCTTGAATATTAGTGAAGGTTACTGCCTTTTTTTTCTTTTTCTTTTTTTTTAAAACCCTTGGTATTTTGTCATATGAATCATTTTAATAAATAACTTTGTTTTTCTAGCATAGAGATCATCTAAGTTTTCTGTGTGGTATTTCTTGGCAAAATAAGCAGTTACTTTAATGATGTATATGGTGTCTTGCACACGGTGACAGTCACAATTTTGTGATGTTGAATTTTCAGAACTATTAATAATGTCTTGGCTCTTAGGTATCCCCTATTATGGATCTAATTCAAAAGAATGCATAGGCTGTAGGGAAAGCAGAACTTTGAGCTCCCTAATCTTCCATTTTTCCAAGTGTTTTCATGTTCTTACTTGGCATTTTTGTTGGGAAATAATAGGTTTAAAAGTAGCATTTTTAAAAAGATAGATTTCTTTAGTAAGGCTGAGAAAAGAATTAATTGCTTTTTATTAGCTTTGTTTTTCTTCCCTGGGCTGTATACATTCTTGCTTGCATAATTTGGCCGTAAAAGGAAGAGCTTTTTGCTTTCCCAACTCTGGAAAAAATAATAGCTTGAAAATGCATTGGTTTCAAGATTTTGAACCATCTATCTCTAAATCTGTTCAATTGATATCATGTGTCCTCGGGAAAATGTATTTTACCAAGCAAGATATAGAAGTTGTATTAAGCAGAAATTGGAGACCCAAAGGAGATCTTCACTGAAGCTAATTTGAACTATTTCTACTTGAAGCAAATTAAATATGATAAATCAAGACTGGTTTGTGTTAGGTTCTTTAGGAGGCATATAAAAACCAGCTATATTGTGAGACTGTGTGTACATGTCTTATTTTGATGAGATTAACTACAGAGAAGATACATGTGAGTAAATTTGTAATGCTTGGTTATTTGGATCCCACCCATTAATACTAAGTGCTTTAATAATGTATGAAGGTGATATGGCACACCTTCAATAATGTGCTATGTACACAGTTTGTGTAATGCTGTATTTGTAAAAAGGGGAAGCCCTTTATTGGAATTCTCCAAGCCCCTTGGCATTCTTATGTCTCTGGGTTTTTTTTAAGGATCTGTAGGCCTTCACCTTTGGCTAATTTTGAGACACTGGCAATGAAATTCATTGATGCCCATCTTTGATAAAAATGAACAGTGATATGTCCTCCCCAGTGTACTGCGCACAGACCAATAGTGATTATTTGGGAAAGAAGCCATTATATAGTTTTGCTAGATTAATGAACTTTAAATGTGTAATAACAGGTAACAGCATTCCTGCTCTTGGATTACATTTGTTACTAGTTTCACCAAATCATATGTTACAATGTAGCTCATTCAATATTTTATTTACAAATAGAATGAAAATAAATGAGATTTGCAGCATTATTTCACAGTCTCTACTAATAAAACAAGGCTGCCTATCTACCTAGGGGAACCAACGAAAGTGTCAGTAAAATTCTATTAGCTTGAATTAGTGAGCATAGCCTCCCTTTTTTAATTGTTAGTTCTGTGTACTTTCAGGAGAAACAGTAGAATTTACCTTTCAGCCCATGTTTTTGTAATGTAAAATCTTTAAGAAAGTGAAACAAATTTTTTTAAAAATTGAATTAATAACTTGAAAGTGGTTTGCTTTTGTGGGGTGTGTCTACATATACTTCAATTTAGAAATGATCACATTTAAGAGATTTTTTTCTCCTAGATATATGACCCCTCCCCACCTTTTAGAGTAGGCAAATTTTCCACGTAATACACATTGGAATACATAGTTTTATTAAAACTGAGCTGTGTCCAAGAGATATACAGTGTTATTAACTAATTCTCTTATGGTCACTACATTTAATAGCCAATGTAAGGTAATTTAATTTTTGTAAGACGTAGGGAAATTTTTTTCAATGTATTAATGTGAGGCTCTGAGGAAATTTAATGCACATTTACTTTTTAAAGTATGGATTGAACTCCTCAGTTTAATACAATTTGTGTTTTTGTTAACTAGCAGCAGAATTTCAGCATTTGCTACTTACTGGTAGAGAAGAAAAATCCCACAGCCCTGCCAGTACAGGTTAGTTTAATCTGTAAGTACCTGATATTCCTTTTTTTTTCCAAACATATCCATATAACCCACACAAGGAAGAAAGCTTCAGTTGCTTAAATGTGAGTATAACTAATACAGATCCATTGGACACTTTCAAACACTCAGTACTTGGGCCAATTAGCTTTAGGTTTGGTAACCTCAGGTATAATAAAGGGTAATACTGTTCCTTTATTATTTGGTTATGGTTGATCCTAAATAGACACGTACAATAAAGAAAAGACAGTGTAAGTTTCTATTGGCTGTATGTTCATTTTAGTATGTCATACGGAGTGCAGGGCTTTGGGTCCAGGGTCTTTTACTTAAGTCACTAATGTGGTGGTATTCATTTACCTTTTAACTTTTTACAGTATGAATCAACCTAAAAACTCTCCTCACCTCTAGAAATGATAAATGGTGGGGTTTTTGTTTTGTTTTTTGCTCGTAAGTATGTTTAGTAATTTGCTGTAAATAAGTACTAATTTTGTTCATTTTTTATAAACTAGAACCTTATTCCATTGGTGCACCACCACCATGGGTTCATTTTACATTGAACCAAGAATAACAAACCTTATTTTTTAATACTCAAATAAATCTGACTACTCATCAAGAAATCTAGACAGGGGATGTAATGGATTGTAAAAAATGTTAAAATTTTATTTTCATTGGTCTATCAGAGTTCATTGTTGTCTTGAACCATCCATGAGAGATTTTCTTTAACCTTTAAGTACTGTACTTATGTTGATAAAAATTTTAAATACCAAGGAGATGAAGAAAGCATAGTTTAGTTTATAAAAGCCTGAACCATCCTTTCAGTTTGTAGCATTGACTAGGATGCATGGCTTCCTCCTTATACCTAAGTGTAATGATGTCTTATTTGATTGAGACAGTCCATCCATAAAAGTAGCTGATTTTGTAATCCTTTTAAACTAGGATGGTGATTAGTGTTAAATATTTTTAAACCTCCATTTATCAACTGATGAAAAAAAATGTAAGATATCCACTTGGTTTTTGATACAAAATTACCTAAGGGCTTAAGTTTCATTGCCTTTCACAGTTTAATCTGTATAAGAAATGGCGTAGATACAGTGGAAATGGTTTTCCTTAAAACCATCTCTTTAAAGCTGCCTTTCTGGTGAGTACTATTTTATCCTTTTATATATCACAGTTTTCCTTTTAAATTTGACCAAAAGGGGACACTTTCATCAAAGAGTGGGCAATCTGAATTTCTTCACTCTTTAGATATTACCTGAATTGAGAATATTAAGAATAAGAAGGTGATTATTTTATCTCCTGACATTTCTATAACAATCTGGCTTCGTCTTTTTTTTTTTCCTGACCCTCACTTAACACTATAACTTCAAAAACTTTTAACACAAATTATTTCCGTTTGGTGAGATGGAAGAAAAGGTTTTTACTCAAAACTATCTAGCATTTATCATTTTAAGCTTCAGATTTCTTTTTGGTTGACAACCAAAATATTTTTCTCTATGCTTTGGCTCCTACATTGCATAGGTGTAAAAGGTAAATACAAGAATTCCTGTCTGTTCTTGTTGAAGCTGTTGCAGTGATTTGTGAGCACTTAAGCTGAGGGTAAGGTTGAAGGAGGCTGGCCTAAAATATGGTAATGTAGGCTGATTGATTCTCTTTGAGGCTTGAAAATTTCCAGTGCATTCTTAAATAACTATAATCTTGCATGAAAAACTTGGGTTAGAAATAGTGGTTTCTGGAACTATATACCAGTGAAAATTAGCCTCCGTGTATATTTTTAGTTAATTGATGCCCTGTTTAACACCTTCCCCTCTAGTCTTGATCCACATCCTAGCTAATGTCAATATATGCTAAGGATGTTTTCACATTGTATCTCCCGATCTTTGTAAAACAATAATGAACAGTCAACTTGAATGCTTTTTAGTATGAACAATGATAGTTTTCTAAAATAAATTTGAAAATGGATATCTGAGTATGTGATAATGGTGATGTATTCTTCTAGATAAAGTACCAAAGTATGGACCCTCAATTTATGTCTTTAAGATTTAAAGTGAAGTAAATTTCTAAGGAACTCTGTCCTTTCCTAGCAAGGATAAGCAGACATTGAAAATTTGGTAAGTATTTAACTTTAAATGCATGTGCTAGTGATGAAAGTAAGTAGCCAAAATTCCATACTTTAAGGTAATATTTAGATGTGAACAAAAATTCTTGGATCTCCCTTGCGACCTAATGTCTGCGTGTCTAGCTAGCAGTTTTATAAACTTGTATGGACAATGATTAAATTGAAATATACCTTACTCCTTTGTCTGGCTTGTTTTCTTTTTCTTTTGTATGGTGCTTTAAATACTAATTTTGTATTTCAAACTTTCTTCAGGGTAAAAATAAGTGGCTGGTAAAATGTCTTCAAGAAGTATTATTCAAATGTTCCTATTTAAAAACCCAATGATGACTTTCAATTTACTTAACCCTTCTGTTTTCCAGCGCCAGTCAAAACTGACAATAGGCAGCTGATCACAAAAATCAGGGGAGGGGGTGTCTTTTGTGCTCTTTTTGGAATATTGGTAGGGATCATTGTATTATAATAAAATGTTAATCCATTGCCTAATTTTCATGAAAATGGTGCTTTTAAAATTAAGGTAAAAAGGTGATAAGATTTGGAATTGTTCCTTCTCCCTGGGACATTATCATTAAGAGGTTAGTGTGCCCAGCTGGTATAGCTCAGTGGCTTGAGTGTCATCCCATGGACTTGCGAGGTCGCTGGTTCAATTCCCTGTCAGGGTACATGCCCAGGTTGTGGGTTTGATCCCCAGTTGGGGGTATGCAGGAGGCAGCCAATTGATGTTTCTATCCCTTCCTCCCTCTCTTAAAAAACAAAACAAAACAATAGTATATGGGCCCTGGCTGGGTACTTGGTTGGTTAGAGTGTTGGCATATGCCACGGTTGCAAGTTCAATCCCAGGTCAGGGCACACAGAAGAATAGACCAATGAATGTATCAAGTGGAACAACAGATCAATGTTTTGTTTTGTTCTTTTTCTCGCTCTCCCTTCCCCTTTCTCTAAAATCTATAAATAAATAAAAATAGAGGATAGCTTTGGCCAGTGTGGTTCACATGTTTGGAGTGTCATGCCGTGCACCAGAAGGTTGCCAGTTCCCTGGTCAGGGCAAGTACAGAAAGCAACTAATCAATGCTTCCCTCCCTTTCTCCCTCCCTCCTGCCCTCTCAAATAAATTTTCTTTAAAGGCAAAAGTTAAAAAAAAAAGTATAGAGAAGTTAAATTTACTTGCTTATCAAGGAAGATGACTTATATCTGAGTAATATGTCCATTTCTTTCCAAAATAATATGGCATTAACTTGTGAAGTGTGGTACAAGATCCCAAAGGGTTGTAGGAAAAGAGGGGTCCTTCCCTCAGTTAATCTCCAGGTTTCACTCCAGCATTGTACTGGCAAGGGGGGCAATGGAAGAGCAAGTCATACAAGGGATGTGATGGTAAGGAAGACCTGAAAAAAAATAAACGAGAGGGTAAATGGCTAGATCATGTGTATGCTTAAGTGGTCTGGCTAAATAAAGTGAGAATGATGGAATAATTTTTAATGTAGATAAATGAACTCACTCATATAAAGGTAATTAAGTATTAGTTTAAAGTTAACATTAAAACTAGCAATTAGTAATTGCATCTTGTGGGCATTTATTTTAAAATAAAATTTTCTTACACAAGTAATATTAGTGCCTTTTATCATTTTGATGTATTACCTGGAAACTAGTGCAAAGGAAAAATGAAATAGATAATCACATTTATCGTGTTTTACTACCTATGTTGAATTTTAGTCTACTTGTGTGATTTGGGAGGAAGAGATGTTTCTTAGTCTATGGAACTTAGACTGGAAGTCACAGAGAACACTGAAATTTTTTGTTTTCTTTTGAGGTGGTCCGGGGATGTTTGCTGGGCTTTGAGAAAGCCCAGACTATCATTGAAAAAAGTGTTTTATTTTCATGGCTATAACAATTTTCAATTTTCATTTTTGTTTAAAAGTTGAAGAATTTCTGCTTCTACATTATTAAAAGCAAGCCTCTATTTGTTCCAAGATTATGGTTGGCCATTAACATTTGAGTGCCTGTTATTTACAATGAATAAAAATTTTAATTATACTTGTCTGAGCCCAGTTTATTAAATTGTATCCTGAACAACTTAGAATGAATTATGATGATACACATCAGCTGTCCTGAGCCATTTTAAGTATGGAATGTCTATTGGGAACAAGCATGTAAGGGATAAATGAAGATATGTAGATTGAATATAGGGGTTATATGTTCAAGTGTTAAGATTGAACAGATAGATGGAGCCAATAGTAACTGGTTTAGACTAAGAATTTAATTAGAACCTGCAATCATTAGTCATTTACTAGTTTTATTACCTTGAGCAAGTACCTTCTCTCGAATAATGGTAATCAATTTCCTAGGCTTGTGAGAAAATGTTACTGTATGTAAAAACAAAAAACAAACCAGCCAGTGGAAATAGCAAGAGTGGGTTTGCGAGTATGCTATTGAAAACCTAAAGATTTTATATAAAAGGCATGTGAATTCCTATTACATGCATGGATATTATCCTATCCAAATAGACAGGAAAGGCATCTGAAAAGGGCAGGGATCTTGGAGCTGAGGATTTAAGAAACTAATTTGGGAGAAAGTCTTGGGTAACAGTATTCCAGGCAGAAGAAGGTGCAGAAGCTAAGAGACTGGAAAGTTTAGCCTCGTGGAGGAACAAAAAATGAGTGGTGGATTGGGAAGGGTATATGTGAGGAGAATGGAAAGTTAGATAGACCAAAACACAGCCATGGTTTGAATTTCATTCCAACGGAAATCACTGAAGGACTTTGAGCTGGTGAGTAATACATAGTTTGTGATTCTTTAAAACCTTGTTCTAGCTAGTTTTCTCAGTGGATAGAGCCATCAGCCCGTGGAGCGAGGAGGTGCGGGTTCAGTCCTGGCTGAGGCCACATGCCTCAGTTGCGGTTCCAGCCCCAGTCCCAGTCGAGGTCATGCAGGGGGCAACCAATTGATGTTTTTCTCTCCACCCTACTCTCCTGCCTCCCACTCTATCTGAAGATAAAGGGAGACATCCTCAGACGAGGATTTTTTTTTAAAGCTTGTTCTAAGTTGTGTGAGGGTGGGTGGTATAGGAACTAGTCAAAAGTCAAGAAAAACCTGGCTCAAAACAAATGGTGTTATGAATTACTGTGATTGGAAGATCATTGGAGAAATTAGATGATGCCAGTTCTCTAATATAGGAAGCACAGTAAAATGCAAAAAGACTTGAAACTAACTTCTTTTTATTCATGGTTCAAATCTACACCTGACCTGTAAGACTTTAGGAACTGTTTATTGAGTAGTAAGGCGAGAGATTTTTATAAAATACACAAATTTTGACAGTCTGAGAAGGATAAATGCCCATACTGGAAGTCATGTTGGGGGGAAGGTGGCGTTTGAACTAGGTCTTGAATGGAGTGTTAGGATTTGGACAAATTGAAAAAAAGCGTTAGATGAAAGACTGGAAAACTCTACAGAGGTATGTGAATGAAAGTTGTAGAGAATAGGGTAAGATAATTTAAGGCTAACATGCAAAGGTCCGTGAATATTACATTAGGGATACACGTTTTTTCTGGGAATTGGAGTGCCTTTAATTTTTAGCATAAAATAACACGACTGGAGCTGTAGTTTTGCACTGCATGTCTCCAAATACACCCAAAATCGGTATTTGTATCACCAGAGGCTGCCACTGTTTCATCACTATTGGCCTGGTGACGTGGAGTAGTAGCATTCAAGTACCGTAATTGGTGCTGTTATACTGACTTGGTCGAATTAAAATTAAATTCCTTCTGTTCACCAGGGCTAGTTTGAAATGTTTTGGGAACCCTCTCCACCACAGACCTTTATTTTTGGTCACTTTCCTGTAAAAACTGCCATTTTCTCCCAATTGTAAGACATTGTTCCTCTCAATTGATAATGCCCATGCAAGTGCTATTTCATATAACTGAATTACCCTCTATCTGTATTCTTCATAGAACCATCTTGATAACTGGTTCTCCACAAAGGTACAGTTTCTTTTTTTATCCTCACTACAGGATATTTCTGCATTTATCTTCAGATAGAGCGGGAGGGAGAGGGAAGAAAAGAGAAGCATTGATGTGAGAGACATTGACTGGTTGCCGCCTGCACAACCCCAACCTGGGTCAGAGACGAACCACAAATGCGGCACGTGCCCTTGGCAGGAACCGAACCCAGGATTCTCTGGTCCCAGGCTGATGCTCTAACCACTTAGCAAACCGGCCAGGGCCAAAGGTACAGTTTCTATTCGTATGAAGTGAGTGTGCTATTCATTCTTATAGATTGTACCTGGATTTGGAGAGGATCAGTGAGCTGCTCATTACCCCAAATAAGCCATTATTTGTAAATACATTTGCTCCATTTGGCCTCATGAAATTGTTCAGCTCTGCTTTAATCTACTGACTCCTAGAAGTTCCCCTTCATTGAAGTTTTTGGTGCATTACTTATGTAGTGAGTGCTAAATAAACTTAAATGGATTTTTTTCCTCTCTGAAGAATATTGCTTATAGTGCCACACTACTGAAGGCAATCACACAACCTTGCAAATTGGCATCTCTAACAATGTAGATGTATAACATTACTATACATTTCAACCTTTGCTAGGTTCATGGTGCTGCAAAGCAATTCTTCATAAGGGTATAATCACCTATTCCACATCTCTAAATCTTTGCTTGCGTCACTCCCTGCCATCATACACAGACTTAGGACTTTGCTTTCTAATTCCTGAAGATAGTAAAAGCCAAGGCCTTTCCCTTTTACTTTTTATTTTGAATATGTTTTTACTGATTTTTTTTTTTTTAAGAAAAAAAGGAGCCCTGGCCGGTTTGGCTCAGCGGTTAGAGCGTCGGCCTGCGGACCTTAGAGACCTGGGTTCGGTTCCCGCTAAGGGCGCGTACCTCGGTTGCAGTTTGTCCCCGGCCCTGGTTGGTTGTGCGGGTGGCAGCCACTCGATGTGTTCCTTTCACGTCGATGTTTCTCTCTCTCTCTCTCTCTCTCTCTCTGTTCCTCTCTCTCCCTCCCACTCTACCTGAACAAAAAATGGAAAAATGTCCTCGGGTGAGGATAAAAATATATATATATATATATATATATATATATATATATATATATATATATATAAAGAGAAAAAGGAAGGGAGAGAGAGCGAGGGACATCAGTCGGCTGCTTCCTGCACACTCCCCACTGGGGATTGGGTCCACAACCTGGGCATGTGCCTTGACCAGGAATCGAACCTGCGACCTCTTGGTGTACGGGTTGACGTGCAACCACTGAGCCACACTGGCCAGGCTGTATGCACACTTTTTATTTTATTTTTTTAATCCTCACCCGAGGACATTTTTCCATCTTGGCTCAGACAGAGTGGGAGGGGAAGAGAGGAAGAGAGAGACAGAGAAACATCAATGTGAAAGGAACACATCAAGTGGCTGCCTCCCGCACAACCCAACAGGAGCCGGGGACAAACCGCAACCGAGGTACGTGCTCTTAGTGGGAACTGAACCTGGGTCTCTCTGGACCACAGGCTGACGCTCTAACCGCTGAACCAAACTGGCCGGGGCATGCACAGTTTTTTTTCTTTATTGATTTTTAGAGAGGGAGCATCAATTGGCTGCCTCCTGCATGCCCCCCACTGGGGATCAGGCCCACATTCTGGGCATGTGCCCTGACTGGGAATCGAACTAGCAACCT